TCTATCCTCTGATTGGCTTACAGCAATGCGACTCCACCACTGACTCTGTTTGCTTCGCAACGTTGATGTTTCAACTGCACAAATAACACAAGCCTGAAAGAGTTCTGCTGTGCGGTGAAGTTGCTAATGCTAACAGTTACCTTCTATGTTCTTTCCTGGATGCTCAACCAACAACCTTCCCCGTCGTGAGTCAAAACGGGCGAGTCCGTGAATGTTAGTGACAGTGAGATGTAGATCTGTCAGGCTTTTTTAATCCTAGTGTTTCACTGGAGTAATGCAGGAGAAAGGTGGAGATTATTTTTATGTTCAGCCTGCATTAAAAAACGCAGCGACTGATTATTTAAAAAATAAATAAATAAAAGTCGAATCTGGTTTTTCTGTGAACCCGCTCCTTAAGCAAACACTCACTGCCACATTTGTTTTATCTTTGTTTCATGAATAAAAATCAGACTCCTTCATCCGAATTCTTTGATATCTTAATATTTAGTTGGCAAATTCTGTAAGGAATAAAGAATAGTAATTCATAAATGTATGGATGCCTCCTAACCAGGCCATCAGACAAACTGCATTGTGTTACAAGATTTTCAGCAACTCTTAATCCCTGAGATTATGTACAAAGTGGACCACAAGTCCGCTGGTTGGATCCCTCGCCGACCCACAGGTCCGGTTAGCACAGTTTAACGTTTGCCAGTAATCCCACCCCGAGGGCCGAGCTCAGAGTCATTACGCTGGTAATTATCTGGCGGGTGCCAGAAAAATCCTTCATCAACTTCAAGACATCAAAACTGACTTCAGCAGCACGCTTTCATGTGGGGTCAGAGGCCATTTGTTACCTAAAATGATTTTCAGACGTTATGTAACAAAGTGTTTATAGGACTGGAAAGTTCAATAACCACTGGATATTTTACAGATAAAAAGGCTGCAGCTGACTGGACCACCCACTTCTCAGCATAATCTCACTATCAAGCATTCAGACGAGTAGCTGCAACAATTAGTTTTACTTTTATTTTAAAAGGTTTATGGAGTACATTTTTATTAATAAAATGTTGTTTTTGTATATTTTTTCTTAGGTTCTTGTGGTTTTGTAGAGAAGGAAATCCTCCACCTGAATGACTCTAAAACAGAAGTAATCGTTTTTAGTCCCGACAATGTTCGAGCAACCCAGCAACCTGACCTCCGCTATCTGTCTCCCAATGTCACTTCTGCTGTTCCCAACCTTAAATAGACCCGGTTCTGAAGATGGATGCTCAGGTCAATAGCACAGTCAGGTCCTGCTTTTACCACCTCAGGCGAATTTCTAAACTAAAGCCCATCCCGAGTGTCCGTCTTCTACAATCTGTGATTCACACCTTCATCGCTTCTCGGCTTGATTATTCCAACTCTTGCTTGTACGGCATCAGTAAAGCTGCTCTTTCCAGAATTCAGCAGCAAGGTTCCTGACTGGAGCTGACAGAAGACAACACATTACATCACTCCACTGGTTGTCTGTTCAGTTCAGGATCAATTTCAAAATTCTGCTTCTCGCATTCAAATCTTTGAACAGTCAGGCACCTCCCTATCTGTGTGAACTCCTCCATTACTACCACCCTCCTCGTGCTCTTAGGTCTGAGGATCAGCTCTTCCTAACTGTCCCTGAGGCACGTTTGAAGACCCGCGGGGAAAGGACTTTTTCTGTCTGTGCCCCAAAATTGTGGAACTCATTACCTCTTCAGGTTAGGCAAGCACCCTCTATTGCCGTTTTTAAATCCCGCTTGAAAACCCACGACTTCTCCCTGGCCTTCAGCTCCCAAACAATAAAGCTCATCCTTAGTTTTTCCACCTTCTTTGTTCGATTTTAAATTTGTGTTTTTATATTCTGGTTTTACTTGTTCTATTGGTTTTAGTATGTTGTTCTTTTAACTCTTTTATCTTTTTTACTTCATATAATATACAAGACTATTTCAGCTTGTGTTTTTTATTATTTGTTTTTATGTGCAGCGCTTTGGTCGGTTGTACTGCCGTGTTGAAAGCGCTCTACAAATAAAGTGGTATGGTATATGGTAAGGAATTGGAGAAAATGCCTGAATTAGATTCAAACATTCTATCAAACCAACTATTTTCCTTTTATTTTACTGAAACACTAGAAAATAAAATGTCACATTTTTATTGTAAAGACAATTCATACAGCATTAAGATTAGTAGAGCTCTGAGTTTTATTGGCGCGGGCTAGAGACGTTATATAAGATTAATTAGAATTTTAGACATTTGCCAGCTTTTACATGTAAGTAACAAAAAGAGAGGGTTGGTTGGTTTGATTCAGATCTTCTGGTGTCTTTCTGTGAAAAGGGTATGCATCATTGTTATGTTACCAACCGATGCTAGAACCCAGTTTGGAGAAGCAGATGTGACCGGACTGATGAGCTAACGGCTAGTCTAAGGGTGGTGTTTCTGTGGAGCTAGCTCTAATAGCACTTCTGACAAGATGTTGATTACAATTCTGGAAGGAGGTTAAAGGTGTGGAACACTGAAACCAAAAACAGTTTTTAACGGTTATCCCTGATAATAATCAGTGATTCTGAGTTTTTCATGCAGCTGAACATGAAAACAATCTCCTACACATATATCTCCTGCATTAGCTTCTGATTGAAGACAGACATTCAAACTCTAGGGTTTGAAAAGTCTGACTGATGTATGTCAAGAGATTGCATGGACTCACCCGTTTTGACTCGTGACTGGGAAGGCTTTTGTTTTAGCATCCAGGAACAGCAGAGAACATCTTGGCTAGCAAAAACTAACTGTTAGCAACCACATGACAGAAGCTCCTCCAAACTTATGTTATTTGTGGAGATAAAACATTCATGTCGCCGAGCAAACAGAGTCGGTGATAGAGCTGGCGTTGTTGTTATCCAATCAGAGGCAAAATGTCCAAATATCAGGACATAAGACTCTGTGTTTTGCCCCTCTCTGCTGCAGTAGACTTGTCCATGCTGATCCAGCTACTTCAGGGCATTTTTGACCCGATTATGGCTTTAAAGGCATTCTTACCAGAGACCAATGCAAATGTATTGAATAAATGAGTGAACAACACCTTTAACATATGACATTTTGGATCATATAAATGTTATGAAATATTGTTTGCACTAGGCTAGTGCTAGGCTAGGAATACTTGAGTGACTGGCCTTATTGTGATTAGATTTTAGGTAGCTTTTTAGATCACAGCTAATCCCTAGTCTAATCTATAAACTAATCTCCTGGAGCTGTCTGCAGTAGGTGAGATATTAGTTGAACGACGCCCGAAGGCTCTATGGAGTTTATAATACACAAATCCAAACACGTGGAATAACTTCTTAACTTCAGGGACAGTTTTGATTATTTTTGGGTGATTCAAAATCTAAAGCAACAAGAAGGCTTTGAACTGGAGACTGAGTGACATCAATCTTCCTAAACGTGAAAGATCTGTGGACCACTGATGCCAATACGCATCCTGTTTGTTAGTTTCATGTCTGACAAACGAGGATTTCGACCAGACAGTAACGTGCACTACTAGCAGACAGGCAGGTATTACAGTCAATCACACAAACCACAATACTAAATCACAGGGCATTTGGCAAGATGGCAGCCCTGCCAAGACACAACAATGGGGTTTTCTGCTAAAACATTTGTGGAAAGTGGAGTCAGCTAGACTCATAATTAAACCACTTGGCAAGGCTCACACCTTAGTTTCATCCACTCTGGGGCTGGACAGGACATCCCGCCAGGCAGCCAGACACTAGACATCTAACTTATTATTAGTGCTGCTAAACAATAACACAAGCTGACTGTAGCTCTCAGCCTTTTGTTTGTATACCACAGTGTCGACGTGCAGCTATGAAAAGGAAAAGACCCTATTTTGAGCAATTACAATCATCTGATCTGACACAAGCCTAGGGGCCGATGAGTGGACATCACGTTTAACTGTAACTTGACCAGAATGTGGATTTTAGGTTTTTCTTTAAAGGGATAATCCACCACAAGCTGAAAGTCTGTTGACATTTTCCCAGAGTTAGATAAGTGGGGAAAAGCATTTTGTTACCAGCCAAGTCATTCTCTTAATCTGGCAGTATTCTGTTAGCTTTAGCTTAGCATAAATAATGTGAGTGAATGGTAACAACTAGTATTTCATACAAAAATCAAGAAAATTATTCAGTAATGATCCAGATTTTTCTCGGTGACCTCAATAATCACATCAATGCAAATTAAAATAACAATAAACACGGAGGAAGTACAGGAGTTGATTCTGACTTGGGACTTCATTACAACAAAGCACCACTGCACTCCATTGCTGCAAGGCATAAAGACATGACGCAACGGCCGCAAAACTCGCCATTTGCTATCATTAGGGTGAAATATTGCAAATGTTATACAGTAAACTCGGAAGTAACAAATCGTGCTAGACATCACGCTGGTGTGTCACGTCTTTGTGCCTTGCAGAACCATTCACTTACATTGTTTATGCTAAGCTAAAGCTAACAGAATACTGCCAGATTAGGAGAATTACTAGGCTGGTTACAAAATGCTTTTCCCCACTTTTCCAAATCGGAGGAAGCGGCATTGGACTAAATTCCACTTTGGGGTGGAAACATTTTTACTTTCAAATTTGTAAAATAATTTCTTCAGTGTTTTAGAAACCTGTTGATCAACCATAGAGTCAAACGTGCTGAGAGACATCTAAAACATGCGGCATGCCACAGATTTAGTTCTCACCTGCAAGATCAGCGGTACAGCGTTTCTCCATGCAAAAAAAAAAAAAAAAAAAAAAAAAAAAAAACTAAGAAGTTATAGCAGGTTTTTTTTTACTTAGTAACAGTTACATTTGTTCAATTTAGCAATTTAGGCTCTAGATTACCATTTAAAAATGCTGAATTAAATATGTAAATGTGTAAATTAAACGTATGCTACATATTAACAGAAGTGAAACCTACAACACATTCCCTATGTCTTTAGTAAAATATCTTTATTAAATAAACAGAATAAAACAAATGTAATATTTCACATTTGATTTATTTTCACTCGTTCACCTTAAAAACTTCTCTCATGCCATAACTGGACACTGAAACTGCTCAGTACCTTTTAGTTTGATCGAGCCACTTCTGTACACAGATCTATCATGGTGACATCATAATCATCTGCAACATACATAAGATTGGTTTTTATTTGTAATCAAACGTCTCCTCTGTGCCGGGGTGGATCTGTTTTTGGCCTTGATGAGGGGAACAAGAGCTTCTGAAAAATAAGAAGCAATCAAAGTCTCTTTGGTTATTTTACCCATCTGTTGTGTTTAAACTCAAAAGAGGAGGAGCGATAATTCTGCTCTTCTAAACACACTTCATCTGCTCTCACGCTCACGTTTGTTAAAGGATTTAGGTCCAAAGGTGGAACCTCAGAATCGACTTTGGATGGTGACATGAGCTCCACCTGTGTGTTCCTGCTGTGGAGCTACAGCAATAAAAAACACACACAGGTCAAGTCAATCACTGAAACGTCTTAGAAAACAAGAATTTCAACTTAAGATTTCTGACTCCAAAAACGTTGAGGGTCAATAAAGAAGCCATAAAAACTTTGAACTGTAGAAACATGACTGTGTCACAATGAGGCATATTAACACTCATACATTTGATTGGAAATATGATTAACCAGTGTAATTCTGGTACCACTAGAATAAAACTACCTTTATAAATCATTAGTTTATAAACCATTAATAACCATTTAAAATCTATTAAATATAAAAGGACAATAACCCATTAGCTAAACATGATATCTGCTTAAAATGTTTATTATAAACACTTATTAATGCTTTATAAAGCTATAAACTTCAATATCAACAGATCCTTTATAAGGGTAGTCCTATTGTAAAGTGGTACCAGTTTCTGTTTATTTTTGGACTTTGATTAAACTAAAAGTGTGCAAATTTTTCTCTTTTAACATGAAAATATTTCAACGTTTGATTCTAAGTCTAACATTTGCATCAACTTCCTGTTTTGTGGAAATATAAATTGGTCATCTTAGCTGTGGACAGGAGTTGAACACATGGACCATATAGATTTTATAAAAAGAAATCAGAGTAGATTAAATGAAAGGAGGAACACCTCGTCTCCTCCTTAAGTTGGCTCAAATTCCTTTGGATGATTCCAGTTTGATCTCCAGTCCGTGTGCCGCATCAGCACCAGTGGTTTTGGTTAAATGCTGGTCTCAGTCTTTTTATAGAAGCAGATGCTGGTGATGACCTTGTGCTGTCTTTAAGCATCAACAACGACCTTTTTTTTGGTCAAACTCAACCTGAATCAACCTCCTCTAACCGCTTTCTCCAACTTATTAGTCTTTCACACCAGCTCGTCTGAATTAGTCCATCTGGGTGTAAAAATCTATGATGTCCTCAAAATCGAGTTCAGGATGTTTTGTCTACTCCTTACTGGACGCACACATACTTCTTCCACCAGGACTTTGACAGCATCTTCATCTTGTCGGCCGTGCTGCGGACCTTCCTCTCCCGGCGCGCCCTCCTGTCGGAGTGCCGCAGCCCCATGGAGATGGCTGCATCGAACACCTCCTTCAGGTTCTTCTGTGTCAGAGCCGAGCACTCCACATACGTGACGGCCCCGACCTTTTCCGCCAGTGCTCGGGCGTCCTCCTCGGGGACAGGTCTCTCCCTCCTCCTCGCCAGCTCGATCAACACTTTGACGTCCTGTCGCAGGTCGCACTGCGTGCCCACAAGGAGGACCGGGGTGAGGGGGCAGCGGCGGCGGATTTCGGGAACCCACTTCTCCCAGACGTTCTGGAAGGAGGCGGGGCTGACCACGCTGAAGCAGAGCAGCAAGGCGTCGGTGCGGCTGTAGCAGAAGTGTCGGAGTTTGTCGAACTCATCCTGATGGAGACAGTTTGGGTTTAATATACAACACAGACTAATCCTGCCATCTCATAAATATCATCCACAGGCAGTCTATGAAAGTAGCACGCTGGAGACACACAGCTCTGACAGACAGGGCCCTCCCTCACCCCTGAGTACAGGAACCTGATCCTTAACCAACTTCATCTAATATCCAAACCCAGCAGAGATCCGCACACACCAAAGCTGTGGATGAGAATCTGATGACGTGAGCAGAACATACAGAAACATCAACGCTGTCATCATCCACCTTCTCATCTCGGCGTCGTTGGCACACCCCTATTTCTGGCACCCACCTGTCCCCACCACCAGCACCACCTCAGGAAAGTTGCATCAGTGTTTGTCGATGCTGATCTAACCTCATGTGCCCCAGCTTGCCTGCGTGTGAAGCTTTAACGCCGCGTACAGCTCGCAGCATACCGTGAGGTTTTACACGTATTTAGGGTTTTCATTCCAAGAGCCAAAATGACTGCGAGTCTGTGTAAAGAACTGGCGGCGCCCTCGCAGTTTTTCTGAATGTCAAATGTGCTGCTCACAGGGCGGGGTGCTTAGGAAAAAAAACAACACACACCCCAGAAATTAAAAAATTATGTTTTACAACCTCTGGTACCTGGAGAACTTTGTGCAGGTTTATGTTCTTTACCGGTGAGTAAACTGATTTATGTGTTTGGAGGCCAGAAACTTAAACTGCTTCTTTTATGACATCAACTCTCAACTAAAATGTCCTAAACAGCTAAACACCTTCTATATGTTGGTTATTTTAGACCAAATTTTGGCTAACAGTAAAAGTTTAGAAGATTTCTAAGTACAGACCTAACGGGAGGTCTATAATTCAACAGTTTTATTGAAAACATTTGAGAAGAACCCAGGTTCAAGCACCACAGATGAAACGGGACTTCTAAATGACAGAAGTCCATAAATGGTTTGCTAAAATATGTCCAAGTTTATTTATTTATTTCATTTTTTATATACAAATGTCTTCGCATTTCCAACTATATCATCTCTTTTCATTTTTTTTAATGAAGAAAAAGATCAAATTTGAGTTTTTGGAACACACTAACATTTAAACCAATGTATGTTTTAGTGTCCAATTGTTTATTTTTCAAGCATGTGATCAATTTTCTGGTTTCTTTGAATTCCCATTTTCCTCCTCAGATGGATGCTTGCGTATTATAATGTACCATTCAGAAAAGTAAAGAACCATTAATATGTTACCAGTCGTGCTCGGCCGACTTGTTCCACAAGCTAACATGTAGCCCGAGCTGGGCAAAGAACAAAAACATGCCACATTTTAAAGATCTTACAACGATTCATGCAAACTCTATTTCCTTGACATTGCAACTATTTTAGCATTGAGGTGCAGCCTGGAGCATCTATAACTGTGTAACAAACTGGTTTGAATGTAAAGGTTGATAAAACAGAGGTTGCATAAACTGCTGAATTTCTTTTTACTAACAGCCCCATTAGTACACTTTAAGAAAGGAAATGTTCAATTTACTTAACCAAGATATGTCAACTGGTTCCAGTAAACCAATTTTCTTAATTATAACGAGTAATATCAATTTTGGTACTCCCATACCTTACGTATTGTGTTGAAGTGTGGGGGAGTACTAACCATAACACACTACATTCTCTGATCATATTACAGAAAAGAACAGTGCGAATCATCCACAAGGTTGGGTTTCTAGAACACACCCATAAGCTGTTTACGCAAATATAATACATCAATCATTCTATACAAAGCATTCAATGAATTATTACCACCCAACCTACAACGTTTCTTTTTAATTCCTGAACGTGTTCATAACTTAAGAGGTTTTGGATAATTTTCATTGCCAAGAGTTCAAACTACTCGTAAATATTTCTGTATGTCGGTATGTGGAGTGAAACTTTGGAACAAACTGGACTTACAATACAAGCAATGCCAAGCAATTAATTGATTTAAACCGTTATACTAACATAAGTTCTGGATAAAGTATAGAGATGAGAATCCCTAATTTAATTTATTCTGTTGTTTTACTCTGTCTTATTGCATAAACATTCCTTGTTGATATTTTTCCTTTACCATCGTTGTTAATCTGTAAAAACTTTACGGTTGCCTGTGGTTACGCCATCACTCTTTTATACAGGAAAAGAATGCCTGAATAATCAACAGTGAAGCTCGAGGTTTACTCACTGAATGGGGATCTGGGGTGGGATTATATAAGTTTTCTTCTTCCCACTCCTTTTCAGGCAGAATTGCATGACCATTTATGTATATTCCTTTGCACTAAATGACTTATATGATTTAACTAATTGTTACCTTGTTTAATTGACTGTGCCATTGCCTGAAATAAAGACAAAAATGAAAAAAAAAAACATTTATTTTGAAAGGAATGCATTACTTGTTTAATCCATACATTTGCAGTGGTAAGGAATGAATGCCTTGCAGGCAGCACTCAGGGCTCAGAAAAGCCCACAAACCCCTGGCTCAGCAGGCGACATCACAGCTGAGCTTCAGACACAGGTTTTGGAGTCTTATTTCCTAAAATTTGAACATCTTGCCCCAGATTGGATAACAGCAATGCAACTCTACCACTGACTCCACAAATAATACAAGCTTGTAAGACTTCTGTCATGAAGCTGCTAATGCTAACAGTTAGCTTAAACTAGCCGGGATGTTCGCTCCCGATACTCAAGACATTAAAACAACAACAGCCTTCCCACTTGTGAGTCAAGTTGGGTGAGTCCATGAATGGTAATTAGTGTGACATAGATCTGCGAGGATGTTCAAATCCTAGATTTTCACCGCCTATTTTCTATCAGAAGCTAATGCAGGAGATACGTGTAGGAGGCAGTTTTCATGCTCAGCCTGCATGAAAAACACAGCGAAACTGATTATAATCAGAAAAAAAAAACATTTTAAAAAGATGTTTTTTTCAGTCAACCACACCTTTAACATGACAAAATATAACAATGCTTATTAGTCTTTACATTTAAGCTACTAGGTTTAGTGGAACCAGTTGACATTTCCTGGTTAAGTAAATTCAACATTTTCTTTCTTACAGTGTAAACTAGATTCAAACATTGTTTCTCCAAGCTGAAGTCATTCAAAGTCCCACCTAGGACAGGTAAGATGCTAAGTGTTCATAAACTTTACACTCACGCTAAATAATCTTAAACTTAGTTTATGACAACAATACTTCATCAGCAGCCAAACACGCCCACTTTAACCCATCTGAGGGTTTACACTCTGATCCAGATTAAAGGTAACCTAATATGTGTGTGTGTGTGTGTGTGTGTGTGTGTGTGTGTGTGTGTGTGTGTGTGTGTGTGTGTGTGTGTGTGCGTGCGTGCATGTGTGTGTGTGTGTGCAGTGCTCACCTGTCCTGCAGTGTCACACAGCTGTAGTCTCACTGGGCTCCCATCCACCTGAACCACAGCTGCAGAAACACAGACACACAGCTTCCATCTGAGCGTGTAACCAACACCTACATTCTTCTCTACAGTAAACCAAAGACAGACGGTTAAAAACACAGAGAGACCCCCTGCTCTGCCTTCCACCCAGCCGACAGACATGCTCTGCCTCGCCCACCCACCCTGCCCATTACTGTTGAGGCCATATAACACTTGACTTTGTTCTCTGTGTTTGGGCAGATTCCTCCATCAGAGGAGAGTAAAAGCAAAGCAGATTTTGTTTATCCAGACACTCTTCTTCAATAGGCCTCATTTCCAGATTGGAAAAGTGGATGAGTCATCTTACAGCCAGCTTCATTACAGGGCCATTTATTCTTTTCAGATGACTGAACACGAAAAGCAAAGCAGCGGGCACATGGAAGCGTTTACAGCACGTCCAGAAAAAAGAGAGAGGGATCCACCTGATCAAAAAGTTTGCTGGAAACATTTCATGCAGTAGGACAGCTCCCTGTTCTCAGTGAGAACATGAAGGAGAAAAAAGCCTGGGGTGGGGGGTGTAATCATTTTCTAATACCTAACATATGATACTCCTTTGATTTTCTGAAGCAGGAACACCCACCCCCCTTTCTGTCCTGCATCCCTGCCACCTGTGGGATTGCGTAACCTCTCAGAAGTCTGCTTTCAAGCTCTGATTCCTGGCACTGAGAAATTACATCACTATCAAGGGCCCCAACTGCACAATCACTCTCTGTCAGTCCCAGGGAGAGAGACAATCTCTGCCTCAGATGTGTCCATTCCAGAGTGGGGATGATGAGGACTCATGGGTCATGGCTGACAACAATGGGCTGAGTTGTGCAGCTGAAAACCTCTGACCCACAGCAGCAGCTCTCCGAGGGCGGTGTGTGGATGAGATTTCTACAAGCTTGAGGGAAGTTATTTTGCAAAAATGCGCCAGTCAGATAATTCAGCATATATTTTTTGCAAACAGCAGTGTCAGTTTGCACATGTGCTCATGAGTCAATGCAAGGTGGAGGCTCTGGTCTGGTGTTTCCATGCATGCACTGATAAGTGTAGGAGTGCATAAACAAGAGCTAGCAGTGGCTAGTCAGCCAAATGGGAACCTGGCTACTCCAGGGAGGATACCTTTCAACATTAGATAACAGGAAACACGTCAGAGGAATGATGGAGAGGATTTGGGTGGTGTGGAAAGAAACTGGAGTTTATTCTAAGAGGCTCAGTTAAAAACAAAACAAGCAAAAAAAAAACAAAAAACAAAAAACAGAAATCTTCATGATCTTACCTGAAAAGTTATCAAAAGCGGTGGGGACATATTTGGTTGGGTATCCGTTGGTGGTGTAGCTGACCACCAGGCTGGTTTTACCCACCGCTCCGTCACCGAGCAGGATGCACTTCAGCAGCCGCTCCTGCGTCTGTCCCGGCCGTGCTGGTTGGGGCTTGTGAGGCGGCACCGGAGGGGCCATGATGATCGTCCGTCCGTGATCCATCGAGTCTGCGGGAGACATTCAAACAAGCGCGCCGGCCACCGCCACCTCATCCAGGTCAAAGGGCAGATCAAAGCGAACCAGCATTAGAACTCCTGGTCGGGAATCGAACCTGCAACCTTCATGCGCTGTTGTCAAATCCAGTATCAGAGCACCGTTCCTACATCCTGCAGCCTTCGACCGCTCAGAGGCTGGGTCACTAATCATTTATACTCCCATGTACTTGACTAACCCCACCCACTACACCTCCCAGAGACCTCCTGACTTATTTTGACCTGAGATCTGAGCCTAGGAGGAGCGGTCTGACTATAATTAAACATACAGTTAAGCAGAAAACTACGCAAGTATTTAACTGTTTATATTATAAATAAATTAGCCCTCGAATAAGTAAATGAGACCTAAAAACTGCCTTCATATGATTTTTCTAATGAAATTTGACCTTGTTCGCCACCTTGTGGTGGCAGAAGAAATAACATCACAACTCCTCCAAACCAAAAGGTGGTGTTTTCAACAGCAGCTCATACGAAACTTTTAGCCAAAACCTACTAAAGAAAAGCTAATAAAGCACAAAAACATGTTTCTGTAAATAATTGGAGGTTTACAAAAAACGTGATTTCCTTTTATAATGATTTAAAAGCCACGAATAGATGACCAACTTTATTCAGCTCAAACAGAATGTGTCTATTTAGGGATTTTGTCATGTGCAGAGAGCAGGTTTGTGGAATCTTTTGGAAATTTTCAGTTTTTAGGGCAGCAGTAGCTCAGCAGGTGGAGCAGGTTGTCCAGCAATCACAAGGTTGCAGGTTCGATCACTGGCTCCCACCAGAGAATGTTGTGTCCTTGGGCAAGACACTTAATCCGCCTTGCCTGGTGGTCAGAGGAACCGGTGGAGCCAATGTATGGCAGGCCTCACCTCTGTCGGTGCACCCCAGGGCAGCTGCAGCTCATCATCACCAGCGTGTGAATGAGTGGTTGACTGATTGTGAAGCGCCTTGGAGGGCTGTAGAATCCTAAGAAGGCGCTATACACATGCAGGCCATTTACTATTTATCTGCTATACACTCAGATCTAATCCTAAATCCAGGATGGTTTTCCACTATTATGTAGACTGAGAATTTCCGAATGTGGGATTTTTGCAATAAATTATGGAGGTTTCTTTCTTTCTTTCTTTCTTTCTTTCTTTCTTTCTTTCTTTCTTTCTTTCTTTCTTTCTTTCTTTCTTTCAAGAAAACAGGATTGTATCCTTTAACCCTCTGGAGGCAGGCGTTGCAGATTTGCAACGTTAAAACCTACCTGGTTACTCCACATACATATTTCATGAGCATTTTTTAACTCAGAATACCCCTGAAGGACTTAGTTGTTCGTCCTTTTATCAAAACTCATTTTGAGCCTGAGAGGGTTAATAATCCAAAACATTAATTTAAACAAATAAAAAAATTAAGCTTTTAGTGTAAATGTTTACAAAAACACACCAAACACTTATTTTGCCATCATTTATTTTTCTTCCAAGGATAAAAGTCTAGCTGCTTTCAGGAATATAAAATAATTGGTGTTCCACTATAATGCATACAACACTGCAGGTTTTAAAGGGCCAATAAGTCACTTCCAAAAAAAGTAGCATGGTCAATATAAACAGATTTTGTGTTTGGTTTCAAATAATAAAAAAACAAACAAATGAAATGTAAAAATGATTGTCTTTCATTCTTTTTATTACATGCTCATTTTGAATTGGATGGCAGCAACAGAAAGCTGCAGTAACACTTTTGAAAACCCAGCGTCAGTGAACGCATCACACTGCTGCACCAAAAAATAAAAGCACTTTAAAATAGGACAAAATCAATAAAAGCAACACAAAAATGATGCAATCTTCTTGAATCCTTTAAGGGGGAAACGTGTTTTTTAATAAAAGGCATTGTTAACTCCTGACACCGATGGGTCTGACGTGTTTTGGAAAAATCCATGCCACAAAAAATGCAATCTAAAACTGTTCAACAGCTGAGATTTTATCCACCAATAGATCACATTTTGTTTTTAAATATACAAATGAGTTTTTCTAAATAAGATCAGACCTTAATCCGTGACCCACTTTTTTGGAAACATATTGTCGTCATCTGATTTCAAATAAAGAATTTTTCAGTTTTAAACATTTTCTTTCAATTATTCTTACTTATTAACAGGGCTTGGCAGATTTGGAATATGTTATTCTTTTTTCATTTTCATACAGAGATGGGGTTTGTCCTTACAGCGATTATAAAAAGACCCTAAATACCCGATAGTCTAGAGTTATTAATACAAGATGAGTCTGATTTACCAGCAGCAGAGTTTAAATACAACATTACATACAGATGCTAAAGAATGCATGCCGATCCATGTTGATACGTTAAATATGGTTAGAAATGTCTCCGTTCTCCTCAGTGAAACTCAATATTCTGGTTAGTAGGAATAAAAATAAGCACGTAAAGGCTTTGTGCAGCAACTGAGAGTCCATAAAAGGCATCACAATAACATCTGAGGCTAACATGCCGTCATGATTATGGTTTAGAAGTTGGTCAACAGTAGGGCATGGGAACAAAACAGCTGAAAGCATGACAGGAAGTTAAAAATCTGAAGGATCCTGAATTATTTAATCATTCCTGAAACTGATTTACTTACAATTATCTATAAGATACCTTGTTCACATGTACCGTACACACAGAAGTCATCGTTCTCCGGTGAGATGAAGGTCAGGTAAGAGTCAGGAGTGGTGCGTTCAGGGACGAGAAGAGACTACAGCGAATCGGACCGTCCACTTTAACCTGCAGTTAGAAAGGCACCTGCTGGATCTCAGTTTTCCCACAGCTGGAGATAAAAAAATAACTTAGACGAAATTTGTCCCACTACAATGCATCCTATCAGAGCTTATGGTCCATCCATCGCTTTCTGATCTTATTGCAGGACTATTCAGCCTTTATTAATTATTTACACCCTAAAAGGAGGGAAAGCAGCATCTGTTCGTGAATTTAAATCAAACTAATGTGTGAAGAAGAATGTGTGACAGCTGGGATAAAGGTAGAAGTTTTGGTGTCACACACACACGCACGCACGCACACACACACACACGCACGCATGCACACATACACACACGCGCATGCACACACACACACTCGAGCGCACGCACACACATTCCTGTCCTCCCACCTGTTGAGTCCCCATCAGTGAGAGACATTACCGCTATGAGGCTTGGACCACGTTTGGACTACAGCTCAATCTAAGACGCTGTGAGTTTTATGTTTAACACATTTAAATAATAACTTTAATGATGATGTTCCCATCTGACATCAGCACCAAGAGTCTCCAGTCATCCTTTAACTTCAGTGCATTTGGTGTAAACATGCATAAGCCTCATCATAACTTCCCTTTAACTCTCTGGTGTCTGTGTCTGCACGTGTCTCCGAGGACAGACTGCTGCTGTGTGAGACACCCGAGTGTCCCTCCGTAACTCTGCTAGCTTCTCTTTGAGTTGTCATCAAGTGTGCACTGGGCTTTGGGTTTGGCCCCACCGGGAGTTGGATCAGCAGGAGGGCCTCCGCCCTGGATAAGTCTCTGCAGACTGCACGAGGAGGACAAAGATGGGTCAGAAACGCTGCAATTTTAACAAACGGGGTTGTGTTGCAGCAAAAATCAGTTTTGAGCTAAATCATTGGTAGAAATACTGTTAGTGTCAATAATGAGAAGCTAGGTGGCGCCACACTCACAAATCCTTAATGCTGTCAACCCGAGCCTGGATCTTTGCAATAAAGCCATCCACCTCCTCCTGTGAAGTCACATCCAGGACACAGACATGCTTTTATTTTTCTTAGAGAATTCGTTAATTAGTTGACGTGGACATTTAAAACATCTTTACCTGATGTTGTTTGTAGAAAAGGGGCAAAGAAAAGACAGCAATCAGAGCTGGAGAGGGACAAAAACGAGAGAAGGAGCGATTGATCGGTAAAACAAACCACATATGTAGATTTCACATATCTGCTGTTGTTGCTTTTTGTCTCTTACAGATGATGAGAAGAGTAAGGCCATTGCTCAGGTCTCCCAGGTATGTCACCAGGTACATCAGAAACAGGAACTAAGACCAGAAATACACAAGCATGGAGACAACTCCATTAAACTTCAATAAAACCATTTCCTAATGTAGTTTAAATTGCTTTTAGGAAGCCGTCCATGAATGTGATGTCTGTTAGCGTCTCAGATGCTCTAAATGAGCAGCTGCCCTGACATGAGATGCCTTTTTCTCAGATGGAAAAAGACCCCTGCTCATCCTGGTTGTTATGAGCAACGAGGTCAGGGTTGGTTCTGTCTGTGATTCATAATCTAGGGAGGAAATGGCTACAACTACTATTTCATATGATCATTTGTGTAATTTATGAGCAAAACTGGAAAAGCCACAGGCTCTAGACCCTGACATGGATAATAAACGGCCACAAGTTTAATTAAAGCAGAAGGAAATGTATCTTTGGTATGAATGCTGTATCACATTCTTGGTTTAATCGAAGCATCAGTAAAGAAAAGCGACCAGAGCGCTGCAAGAAGCTGCAGAACTTTACCACAAAGCGGGGTTAAACCATGGGAGGAAAATACAAAAGCAGATTCAGACCCCGGTCAATGAACAAAAGAAAGAAGCTCTAAAAAACAAACACATTCATTCAAACACAAGCTAACACAGTTAGCTTACCTTAAGAGATTCAAAAAGGTTTCCTACAAAAAAGAGCCTCTTCAGAGATTCAGCAGCAGACAGAGTCATAACGATGACCCACTGCATGAAAAGGTCAGCCTGTTCTCCGCCGAAGCTGATGTCCTGCTGCAGGTAGGATCTGACGAAGCACAAAAACAAGAAAGAAGAGGTTCAAACTCTTAGACATGACTTAAGACACAGAAACACTCCTCAGCTGGTTCCAGCCGGCTCAACCAGCAGAGAGCAAACATGGATGAAGCTTTAATGCTCGGACTTTCTGATTTTCGGGTTTAAAACTTTACCAAGTCAGCAATCGAGATACAACCAGTCAGAGAAAAATATTCTAGAATAGATTTTATTTTCTGTTGCTGAAATAAAACAAAGCCGATTTATTTCAAATTTCTATTGTAAGGCCACATTTTTCACCCGCTTAGCAAAGTGCACCAAGCTACAAGAGGGTTTTTGCTACACGCAGCTCCCATCTGCTGGAGCTTCAGCTCTTGTTGGATGTGTGGACGGGACAGAAAAGTGCAGAGAACGGAGACGTGTTGGCTGAATATAGTATAAAACCAAGAATAAAGAAGAATAAATAATAGTGCATGTTGCTGTTTCTCATGCAAAATCATGTCATTTAAAGTTGTTTAAATGTTTAAGAAACATTTAAACAACTTTTTTTATTCTGTGGGAATAAAAATGTATGCATGTTTCTTCTGTGGCAAGAGCTGCAGCAGCAGCTGCAACACATCTGGTGCACCCCGGTGGTACCAGGAGGTGTAAAGGTTTACAAAGTAGATTTTGCACGAATCACATTTTGAGGCTGGAGTTGTTTCAGGCATCCATTGTGGTCCTGTCAGAACTAATCCCTGCTTCCTCAAACTCAGACCGTTCAAAGGGAAATCAATAAATAGGATTTTAATCGTTCATAAACATCCCACAGAAACCCACTTCAGGATATTTCCTGGCTCTTTAGAACAGTTTTCTTAAAAATCCATCTTAACTTATCAGAATTTACATCACATTACAATGTTACACTGATGTCTCATTATTCGTGAAGATGTGAAAAATGCAGAACAAAAGAAATCTGACTCCAGAAAACATGGAACAGAAGCCTCTTACTTGAAGGGATGTTCTCCATCACCCCAGCTGAGGATGTAGAGGAACTGGTAGTAGACGCGGACTGAGATGGTGAAGCACATGACAGCCAGGGAGACCGTGGAGATGACGGTGATGATGCTGAGCTGGAAAAGGGACAACAAGCCCACTACTAGTCCAGTGAGCACCATGCCGGTCCGCTCTGTGTCCTTCCAGTAGATTAGATCTATCACTGAAGAGAAGGTGGACAAAACAGTGGAGCAAATAGTGAAATTATGAAAATGTTTATGATTTTATAGGTTAGAAAACTTTTTGCAGGCTAGAAATTACTTTTTAGATTTCTGCACACAGCAGCAGCTGATGAGTCACTCTAACTCACCGGCTACGATATTTTAGAGAAGTGTGTGGAGTCAGGAAGAAAATAACATTCAGAGGTTGTGCTGTGGGGTTTAGGATGAAAACGAGAGTCCAGCGAGGAGGAAGTTCGAGTGGAAAGAAGGGATTTCCAACGTCAAGTCTGAGAGGTCAGAGGCCACAAGGATGTGTCAGGCTCCGGCCTCGGCTAAACTTAGCCCGTGGATGAAAGACTCTAAACACAGCCTTCAGCAGCACCTGCTGTCAGACATCAGGCTGTCAGCAGACATTTCTCCACACAACGCTGGTTTCCTCTTGGCCGCCTGGAGATGGAGGCGTCCTCAGAGGCTGGTTTAAACACACTCAGTTTAATATTTACCAAACACTGAAAGAGTCCATGAATGACTAAACTGCTCTTCAGTGTTAAGACCCAAGCACCTTTTCATCACAGGGAAGCCTTTCTGATCAGTTATTTAAAAGCATCGTTGGGTAACACCCACCTGTCTGGGTTTATTTGTGCCACAGCCGTTGTTAGACGGGAATCCTCGGCACGCGGACGCTCAGCAGGTGACCAGTTTAATTTAAAAAAGCAGCAGCGCTTAAATGCTGGAAGCATTCATATTCAGTGCTTCGTTTCAGGGCAAAGTGTGACATTTTAGGGAAGAAATCCAGAAAGCAGATCTGCAGAGACCAGCTGTGGTTTATTTTAGCTCCTGTTCAAAGGTGAAAGGTGACAGAAATCCTGCCTTTTAAAGCTTGTTAGGATATGGTGTCTAGTTTGTATTATCTGCACAAACATGATGCAGGAGTCCTGATCTGCAGAGATATTTTTGATTAATGTGCAGATTAACCAAACCAAGCAGTACTTTTTGCATTCTGTGCTTCAGTGTGTTTTAATGAATTAATTTACTAGCTTTCACTTGCATGCAGCTTTCATAATAGATGCTATTGATGTCTGCCAGGTGGAAGGGCTTTTCCACAACTTAAACAAAAGAAAAGTTCCTTCATACATCTTCATTTTGACCACAAATAAACATTTTATAATCTGCCAAATACTGTATGCATCATAAACTGGTGCTCCATGTTAAACAGAATAGAGAGGATGTTTTTCTAGTCATGATTTTATCTGAAGTTCTCTGTGAATAACCCTGTATTTGTGTATGGTGTATTTGTGCTGTCTCTAATCCATTTATTTTAGCAGAGGTCTTTGACCCCACTTAGGTCTCTCCAGCTCAATGCAGTGTCTAAAAATGCCACTGAGATACCTCTACACACACCGGTTGTTTGATTATACTACACAGGCAGATGCTTGTTTGAATAAAAGCTATCAGAGTAGCTGTTGCTTTTAAAGTCCAGCAGACCTGCAGCTCATGGAGGCTGTAAAATGATCAGAGGAGAGAAATCAGCTCCAGCTTCAGTCCCTCCACAGTCTGACCTTCAAACCCAAACAACAAAGCTGAAGATCGTGCGGCAAAAGATGAGAAAATTCATGAATCTGCTGTTTCTCTTGGATTTCTCCTGTTAGATTTGAACTAAAATCAATCACTCATTTGATTGCACACACACACACACACACACACACACACACACACACACACACACACACACACACACACACACACACACACACACACACACACACACACACACACACACACACACACACACACACACACACACACACACACACACACACACACACACACACACACACATACACACACACACACACAGCGTGTAGTTTAATTAAAAATGTCTCACCTTTACTCATCATTTTGCTGTCTGAGGACCTCTACTCTCAGTCCCTTTCTGCCAGACTCCCCTCGCCCCCTTCAGCTGTTTTCAGCTCTGCAGGTCAAAGGCCCGAGAGCCCAAAAATAATCCTGCTCACAGCCCCGCCCACCTCCCCTTCAACACCACCAGGGCGTCACACACAGAGAGATGACTCATACTTCAATTACAAACTACATCATCTGTTGATTTGGGTAAAAAAATACCATCGGGATTAGATAAAAAGCATTTAATTCATTTAAAGTCAGACTAGTGGTAATCTTAGAGAGTCACTGAACACCCAGAGCAAGAAGCTTTGGTTTTTTATGTAACCGAAGAAGAGCAGCTGAAAGCTCAGTGTTTTAAAACAGGCACATTTTTGGGGAAAAGCCACTTTTTGGGAATTCAAATGTTATTTAAACTAAAAAGCACAAAAAGGTCCTGTTAGGATTTACTGTGGCTGATGAAACTTTGACACTGTTCTTAATTAAATGTAATTTACTGGAAATGATGTTTATGAGCTACAGTATTTCTTCACAGCCCTAACCTCTACTAACAGAGCTCTGACCCCTGAAGTCCCTTTAAGACAGAACCTTGTCTCTCTTGTTACACCCAAAAGACATTTCCTTTGCTCTCACCCATTGTTGTCCTATTGTTTCTACAACTGGCCAAAATCCCAGGAGAGAGTTGCTATGGAGACACATCTGACAGCCAGGACTTGTGACACTGTGCCTTCTCCTGTCTGCTCCTCAAAGTGCTCGCTGAAAGCGAAATCTGATATTTTCTTTAATGAACATATTGACTTATGAGCTGATTGGCAGTGAGACACACGTGTGGTGGAAGTGGGCCAATATTCAGACGCTAACAGCAGAGCAGGGATGTCATACCTGCCCACACGGTCGGCTCCTCGATTAGATTAAGAGCTGAAAACCACTGATCTGCGACCAGCTGTTCCTGAGAGTTAAAGCTGACGGCAGCCGGCGACGATCCCACTTGGTCTGCAGGTCGCACAGATGTGAGAAGCTTGACCGAAACGGTTTCCATGGTGACTTCTGGCTTCTGCGTTAATGAAGCTGCTTCTGCTGCTGGGAAACAAAAGATGATGTTACTATTTGATGACATCACAATGACACCTTCAACACTTTACAATAAACTAAAAAGGTCCTTACTAATAAAGTAATGCTTCTTCAAATCATCTAGATTTGTTTACGAGTTTATTTCACCCAAGAAGTGGAAAAAATGTTTAATTTGTTGTGCCTAGAGTGACATCAGAGGAAACTAACTAGATGATGTCATTTCTGAACATTCCTCAGCAGAAAACTCATAAGATTCCTTTGGGTGTTTTTGGATTTGTCATTTGTGTCACATGGGATTATGTAGGCCTGGGGAACATGAAAAAGGTCACCATAAAGTCATCATGTGACCAGCTCTTGGCACATCAGAGGTTGATAGAAATGATGACAGACAGCAGGAAGGAACTGGAGTCCTAAAGTGCTGGGGAAAAGACTCGAGAACATTTAATAATGAGGCAGAACTAAATTTAGATGCTTATTTTTTAGTGTTTTACTTCATTCTGAAACTCTTTCCGAAGATCTCACCCTGAACTGTGGCAGAGGGCCTGTGCTGGATCAGGGAGGAAGGTTGGACAGTCTCTCTTTGGACTCCCGTGTCACTTCTTTGAGTCTTTGTGTCCATATTTTGGGGACTAGGCTGATTTGTTACAGTTCCACTCTGCTCCCTGACCGTCCTTCTGAAAGGACACGCTGTCCTGGGTTCAACCCTCTCCTGTTCTCTCCTCTCAGACAGTCTCTCCTCTTCCTCCTGATCGAGGAAGACCTGAGGGTCCCAGTCCACATCGGGCGAGTCCAACAGCATTTCCAGAGTGTCTGTTTGGATCAAAGGAGTACGACTTCCCCGATGGCCGCCCCTGCGCCGCTCACGATGCTGCCGCGAGGCACCGACCGCTTCGGCCTCGGCGATGGCAATGTAAGAGAAGGTCAGCTCAAAAGAGTTCTGGCGAGGGGTTCCCCAGATGGACGGAGATGAAGCCTGCCCTTCGTCATCATCAGGATCTGCCGTCTCCTCATCTTCTGACCACTCTCTGGCTGTTTGCAGCTCGTATATTTCTGACTCCTCATTTGGGCCTGGATGGAGGTAAAAACAGTTCATTTCAGTTTATTCTAGGGGCGGAAATTATTAATGATAAAAAACAATGTGTTAAAACTTTACCCGTTTGAGCCAGAGTTCCGTAATTGGGGGCCGGAAAAGTTTAGCATCACAATTTATGCCCTCTACATATCAATAAATACCATCAAGTTGCAACTCTGAAGACCTTTGTTATACAAATAAACGACAGCGTTGTTTTTCATGACTTTGTTTTGAATGTTTTGTCAGATGAAAGCATCCAAGTGTCGTTTGATTTAGAACAAAGAAAACTGACAACATCAATGAAAAATAGAAAGAAATCATCTTTGTCCAAAAAAAACAACAAAACAAAACAAAAAAAAAAACAATCAGGTGCCCTTTTCATACCTGTGGATCTTCATTATAAAGAAGATATTTAACAGCTGGAGAGATGAATGGATGAGTGTTTCTTACCATCGGTGCATGGAGGCGTTGAGTCTGGGGTGGAAGCCACAGAGCCATATTCCTCTGGAAGACAACAGTTTCACATAAATAAAAATATGAACATTATCACTCCTGCTAAGCTGCACACATTAAAAAAAATAACAAACAAGCCCCAACAGATGCTGCAGTAGTAGCGTGAGCAGGATTATGGTTTCATGTGATTTATAATGTCTTTGCAGCACCAGCTTCTGTAATATTAATGCTTTCATGAGTTCAGACCGTTAAACAGAGATATTCAGGCCTTCCCTATACGAGACAGCCAGCTTGATAGGCTGTGCAAACAAACACACACATTTTCTTCAGCAGATGTGTGACCACAAGCACAGACTCAACCGCTTTCATTTGTCGGATCAGCTGCATGCTGTGACCAAAAAATAAAAGATGCAATGAAGCATAAAAGAACAACAGCAGCTTTCAGGGAGATACATTTAGCAGTTCTAACATGCCTGCATGCAAATGGAATACCTGCAAATCAAGATGACGGCAACAAAAAAGGCTGCAGGCATCTGCTCGGTTCGGTGTTTATTAGAGGTGGAAACAGGAGAGGAAGGAGCTAACACACAAACGATGCTCAGAGCAGTTAGAGAGAAAAGACCCTGAGCTGGAAGAAGAGGATGACTCATGGACACACCAGATCACACATGGAAACAAACCAGAACCAGACTTACGGCAGTGGGAGAATCCTAAAACCTGGCCCATGCTCCATCAAGGCATTGCTGGGCCCATCCAGTCCGGAAGCCCCCCCTCCCTCCCTCCCTCATCAGCAGCCGGCTCTCACATTCAGTGGATCTACTCTCCTCCTCCTCTTCCTTCCTCAGTTTTCTGCTCGGATTTGTCCTTCTCCTGCCTGTGTTTCTCACATAGCCCCGCCTTGCCTCACTCCCCCACCCTCCGATTGTGCTCCCTCCACTCACCATCTCCTTTTGCATCGTTGTGACTGCAGCAGGAGGAGCGTGCACTACAGCAGAGGGTATCTGAGCTGGCTCTTCATCATCACGTGATCGCAGCTCAAGGTTTTATCAGTCATTAATAATGTAAAATATGAGAACCCACACACACACACACACACACAGAAAGAGAGAGAGAGAGAGAGAGAGAGAGAGAGAGAGAGAGAGAGAGAGAGAGAGAGAGAGAGAGAGAGAGAGAGAGAGAACAAAGCATTTCAGCTGAAGATCAGAGTTAAAACAAGCCAGCATGTAACATCTGTTTTCTGTCTTCCTACTGAACAGCATCGTTATCTACAGAGTGGAGCAAACTGAGAGCAACAGGTAGGGGGCAGTGGTGAGTGAGAGTAAAACTGGGGCTGTTAAATGTAATTATTATAAGGATAAGCATAAAAATATGTTTTGCAAGAATAAAATAATATGGCAAAATTAAACAAAAATAGTTAAACTATCATATGAAATGTCTTGCTGAGCAGAAACAAAACTTTTAAACAATTTGATTTTAAATATTAAGATTAAAAATTGTTACAATAAATTGTTTTATTACAGTTTGTTGTTATTTTACAAAAGAAATTTACATTTTGCACAATATAGCCTGGCAAGCCATCTTTTATATGTTCAATTCAAGTTTATTTCTATAACGCCAAATCACGACAAGAGTCGTCTCAAGGCACTTCACATAGTAGACATTCCAATACAGGTCAGTTCATTAAGCCAATCAGTAAAACGTTTACTATATAAGGAACCCAGCAAATTGCATCAAGTCACTGACTAGTGTCAGTGACTTGATGCAATCCTCATACTAAGCAAGCATTTAGTGACAGTGGAGGGGAAAACTCTCTTTTATCAGGAAGAAACCTCCAGAGGAGCCTGAATCAGTATAAGCAGCCATCCACCGCGACTCACTGGGGATCGAGAAGACAGAGCACACACACACATACGCCAACACCAGCCCACCCACACACACACATCTACACACACAACATATATTCCAAGTAGTGTTTCTATGGTTACATTGTGATTTCTTAGTAAATATTCTTGTCATGGTCTGTGTCTGCCCCCTCCTTTATGTGTCTCCTGATGTTTCTCCATACTCTCTAGTTTCCCTTCTGTGTCTCATAGCGCCCTCATGTGTCCTTTGTCTGCATCTCAATATTGTGTCTTCTGTTTGTAGGCCTTTTTATCATTCCCTCAGGTCCGGTGTTCATTTAGTTATCCTCTGTCCCTCCAGTTGCAGCTCCAGACTCTTGTTCCCCAGCCCAGTATATGTGTGTGTGAGTTATTTATGTCTGTGTGTGTGTGTGTGTGTGTGTGTGTGTGTTAGTCCTTCCTTTTAGTTTGGATTTGTAGTTTTAGGTTTATCTGTCCTCCTTTGGTTCTGTTTCCCCATTTAGGTAATTATTGTCACCTGCCTTCCCTCCAGCCCTCACTCCACACACCTGCTTCCTGTTCCCTTAATTGCTCCTCCCTGTTATTTAAGCCCTGTCTTGTCTTTGTCTTGTGTCAGTCCATTGTTGTTATTCTGTCAGTCTCTCGTTCCTAGCTCTAGTGTTTCTTGGTTCTTCTCGTGGTTTCTAGTATTTCTGATCTCTGGTTTATATTTTTTTTAGACATTTTGGATTTTTGGCTTTATGCCCTTTGGATTTATTTTTATTTTTGACTCATCCTGCAAATAAAAGGATTTTCTTTATACATGATCTCCTGCCTCGTGTCATCCTGGGTACTGCATTTTGGGTCCTACCAACACCGCATTGTGACAATTCTATTTGGTGAGAGATAAACTTTATTGTATTTATCTTAGTGAATCTATAATTAAAGGGTAAACCAGCAGTAGCACATTTAATGTCAAAGAAAGTGAAATGTTGTTATCAGGAGAGGGAGAATGTTGAAGTGGTTAGCAACTGTATTCTAGACGATGGCCCCCTCCATGAGGCTACCACATCTCAGCAGAACACCATTGTAGCTTCTTCTGGGGAGAAAAACACTTAGAGAAAAAATAAAGTTAACAGCTGAAATTGCAGGAAATTACGGAGCTCAGTACGGAGTAGCTATAGGCTTAGACTGCTGGAGGATACACTGACCACTTTTCACACTCGACTACTTTCTTCTACAATTTGCTCTTTAACTGTATTATTTCCTAACTACAGAGATAACTCTGGATAACCTGGCCTTTTAGATGGAGGCATGTTGGAGGCAGGGCAATATTTGTGAATATAATATGTAAATATTTGTGGAAGGCAAAATCATTTAGCTTTAACTGATGGTCTGAACTTAAAGGCTAATTGTGCAGCCGTTAATTCAGAGTTTGCACACAGAAAGACGCTGCAGTGCAAAATGAATTGTTTTGAATTGCTTTATAGGTTTTGTTGTGCAGTTCTTTGGTGCAATGCTTGTGTGCTTATAGAAAAGCTTCAGGAGTAAAACAGGTACTCTGCATGAATAAACATAATTTAGATGAAAATTTGCATAGATGCCTGCAGAAATGATGAGACCTCAGAGAAATGAAGTTCAGATTGAAGAAAACAAAGACCAGTAGTTTGTCTAATTAGGTTGCTTTACCCCGGTCATTGACGTGGTTTTGATAAACAGCTCCTGCTGGTTTAAGGTGGCATCTTTCAAGCAAGAAGCTTCATTTACCATCAGCTCAGGTACATTTTATTGTTATGGAAGACATAACAGTGTGTTCTTGCTTGTTGTGTGAGGTCAGTTGAGTTAAAGCAACACTTTTAATGTGATGAACTTCTGGCAGAGATAAACATAAGTTGATAAAAGGTTTAGTTGTATTTATAGCTGGATAAGAGGAGTGTCACACAGTTCTTAAGGCCACTTTAAAAGGTCAGTAAGCACAAATAAACAAATGTTAACAAGATTCTGTGTGTGTGTGTGTGTGTGTGTGTGTGTGTGTGTGTGTGTGTGTGTGTGTGTGTGTGTGTGTGTGTGTGTGTACAGACGTAGGTTGTTATTGGTCAGGAGATTACCCAGACGTGCTACCCAGAGATGTGAGGCAGTGCTGAGAGGAGGAAGACGTCACACGTAGATTAGGAAACAGAAAAGCACGACCGAATGAGGCAGGAAAAAGAGAAGGAGGGTGAACTGAGAGTCGGAGAGGAACCCTAATGTGACAAGACGCATTTTTTTTAAATGATGTAATTTCTACAAGTCAGTTTTAGGATGAACAAAGAGGCTTGATGCTCTTATTTTTATCCTTCTTTTTCTTTTATCAACATTCTTTCTGAAGTCTTTTACTTTTTGCCTACTCAGGCTGGCACAAACAAGCTGTTGCCCTGGACCTGCTGAGGAGAACACACAGCCGGAGGAGAGGCACCGGCAGGAGACTCACCGCTGCCCGTTCCAGCAGGGGGCTTGAGCTTAGGCTCCGTGGGGTCATGAGGACGGCCAGGCGCGCAAGTAACGTGGAGGTTCCCTCCTTCCTCCGTCAGCTGGTCAAGGAGACAGAGAAAATGGTGACTTTCTTCTTCAAAGGGGGACCCAGCGAAAGGGTTCCAGGAGAGGAGGAAAACCTAAACGAGGATGACACAATGCCGAGCCCCTACCTGGAACGTCCCATCCTGGAGAAGCACGTGTCCGAGGGGGGCTCTCAGCTGGGGTTGAACTATGCTGTGGCGAGCATGCAGGGCTGGAGGGCTCATATGGAGGATGCTCACACCTGTATGCCCCAGCTGAAAGGAGAGCTGGAGGACTGGGCTTACTTTGCTGTTTTTGATGGACATGCAGGCATCACGGTGGCCCAGTACTGCTCCAGAAACCTGCTGGATCACATCCTGACAACAGGTTATTAAAGATAATAATATTAATGCAAAACAATTCATGCATATGAATAAAGATTTCTCTGATGGAAAGGAAGTGTTTTAAGGCTTTAAAGCCACCCTGGCCACCCTGGGGGGTGTTTGAGTATATCCTAAATCTAAGATCTTCTTTCCAACAGGTGGGATCAAAGCAAACGAAGACCCTGAGCAAGTGAAGGAAGGAATCCGTGAAGGCTTCCTGGACATCGATCGCCACATGCACAAAATGGCTCGCCAGGACACCTGGGACAGGAGTGGCTCCACGGCAGCAGCTGTCATGATCTCACCACACCACATTTACTTCATCAACTGTGGGGACTCACGCACTCTCCTGTGCAACGACGGCCAAGTGATCTTCTACACAGAGGACCACAAGCCATTCAACCCCAGAGAGAAAGAGAGGATCCAGAATGCCGGCGGCTCAGTGACCCTGCAAAGAATCAATGGCTCGCTGGCCGTTTCCAGAGCACTGGGAGACTTTGACTTCAAGGAGGTGGATTGGAGGCCGGAAACGGAGCAGCTGGTGTCCCCAGAGCCAGAGGTGTACGAGCTGGAGCGCACGCCTGAGGATGAGTTCCTTATTCTTGCATGTGATGGAGTATGGGACGCCATCGGGAATGAGGAGCTGTGTGCGTTTGTGCGCAACCGTCTGCAGGTGTGCGATGACCTGAGAGACATCTGTGCACAAGTCATTGACCTGTGCCTGTACAAGGTAACCACAACAAACAAACACTGAAATTCTTAACTTATGTGACTTTTCAAGTGAATTGGCTGTTTTAATTAGATGCAGATCCTGCATCTAATTAAAACAGCCATTCGAACACAATAGATCTTAACGACATCAACAGCATATGGGGGTATTTAATGATAGTTTCAGCTCGTTATGCAATAACTCTCCCAGATTCCAGACTTGAAAAGCTCCTCTGATGAAAAACCAAAGAAGGATTGGAGGCATTAGAAGTTTTTGAACCCCTTTGGCTTACATTTTACTATTGCTTAAGTATATACAACTCAGAAATACTAGTTCATTATGCAAAGTACTTTATACTGGTTTGTCTTAGTTAAAGTACCTTGCATTTAAAGAGACAATATAGTTTTTACCATTATTCTCTGGATACATCCATCAAAATGTTGAAAAGCCCAGATATTAAAAAACACTGGCGACTTTGTAACATACAACCAAAAAAATTGGGTCTAAAATCCATGGGAGTGAGTTTAAGTGCCTGGGTGACGACATTTTAGATGCCATGTTTTCTTCTACGGTAGCTCATGAGGACAAAATGCATTTACTGATTTGTAACGGTTACAATTCTTTCACCATTCATGAACATTGTTTTACACATTTACCTCCTCACTCTTTGCCAGCGATGAAAGGGAGTCTGATGAGTTTGTCATTTAGCTGGAGGTTGCGCTCCCATGGCTTTTTGACCCTAATGGGCATCCGTTGGTAAGGTCTTACTCAAACACAAAAATACCGCTTTCTTGCAATGATTTAGGTATGTACTGTCCTCTATCGTTAGGGAAAATACACACTGTAGCTTTAAGTTCTTTTTTTTTGTATTATCAGACCCAAAATAGTGCTGCACACATATAATTTTAACAGCAAACAGTTTGCATATTAACAAGTAAGCGGAATGGATCCAATTTTACAGTGTAGTAATATTATTTATAAATCATAGCTCACATATTTTTAAAATCAAAGCCATCTGACCAGTGGGAGGACATTCAGAAAGTCCATCTTGTACCAAGCCTGATAGGCTTCATTTTAACCATTCATGAGTCACTTTTTTAAAACAAAAGGCAATCAAAGTTGCACCAATATTAAACAGTTTGCTGTAAAAGTAAACAAAGGTGTGTATGTGCATGTGTGTGTGTGTGTGTGTGACCTCTTATTGGGTAACGTTAGGGTTGATTCTATCACTCAGAACGACTGGATAAACATTTACAGGAGCCATCCTCATCCACGATGACTGCCTAAGCTAATCAACACAAACACAAACATGGCTACAGAGAGCTCATATCTCATGTGGAAGTAGTTGATAGTCATTCACAACATGCAGTTGTTGAATCAGCTTAAAATGTGAAATTAGGCCTAACTCTGTTTCAGTGATGGAATGTAATAAGTACAAGTACTCTGTCACTGCATTTAAAGTAGATACAGAACAAATTGTACTTAAGTAATTTTGTTAAGGTCTACGTTTTACTTTTACTTCATTACATTTTAAAGTGATTATCAGTACTTTCTACTCTACTGCATTTTCTTAAAAGTTTCAAAAGTGAAAGTGATTTCCTTTGCGTATTACTTTATGCAGCAGTAAAACTTAGCTGGGCATCATAAACGTTCATTACAAACGCAGATTAGCTCACATTAATGTAAGAGAAATATCCACAGAGCTGCTTAAATCAGAACACACGACCCTGCTGTGGTCTTAGTCATTAAAACTTTCCACCATGACTCAATGCTGCAGCAGGTTACTTCATCCCAAAGAAGAGTGACGAAGTATTGTGTAACCAGATTATGCTGCTGGTCTTATTAACAGTTTCAGCAACTGTGCATCTTAATGCTAACAAGCTCTTTTACGGACCTATGAATAGCTGCACTGAGACTTCCTGGGACATGAGATTGGTGAGGGAAACCTGCACATGGGTGGGATTAGAGCTGAGTGTGAGGGCTTAGCATCACCGCTCAAGACAGATCTTTTCAAAGGCCTAATCCAGACCGCCCGTGTGTCTAATAGACTGCATGTTCCAGTACACTCTGACCTGAACATGTGCATGATTCTAAAGCCAGGCTGCAGAAACATGAACTAGATTAACTGAGCTATGAATCTGATTAAAACTATCAGAAATGATTTTTTTGGGTGCAGCACCTGGTAAATGAGAAAATTTTGATAAAACAACAGGAAGTGAAGATTGTGTTAACTTGCATGAAAGGTGTGTCTTTTTCCTCTGCAGGGCAGCTTGGACAACATCAGCATCATCATCGTGTGCTTCCGAGGAGCCCCCCAGGTGTCCCAGGAGGCGCTGCAGCAGGAGGCAGAGCTAGAGCAGCACATTGACATGAAAGTGGAAGGTGATTGAGCTTAAACTCAATCAAATGTTTGACTACGTTTATCTCCCAGGAACAATAAATAAATGATTTCTCTTATCAGAAATTATCCAGAGGATGAGGTCCAAAGCTGAGAACCCAGACCTTCTGTATGTGATCAAATTTCTGGCAGAAGAAGAGATGCCAGGGCTTCCACCAGGGGGCGGCATCACAAGCAAGTGAGTCAAAGATGATCATGAAACCCAAGCTGAAATGTTGAATCCTGAACTTCTGTGTATCTTTGCAGAAGAGACTGTATCATATCAGCTTATCAGAAACACATCTCAGCCCTTCGGACTCACGAGCCTATGGTGAGAATTAAACAAGCGCTCAGGTTTAAGTAGAAGAAGAAATCCAGTGAGGTCTAGTGACACTAACTAATCCTCTTGTTGCCTTTCAGGACATCGGAGGATCAGAGGAGGACTCAAACTAAAACTGTAACCAAGGAAACCAAAACAAAACCAGCTTCAATAATGATTTAAACTGGTTTTGTTTCACATTTTAGATTTCTTTCTCTAACTTGTTCTTTTTAATCCTGGTCTCAAACATCTGCTTTCTGTTAAACGGAAATAAAATTTGGATTAAACGCCTGTTGTGTGTGGATTTTTTAGACATGTTTCTTTAAAATACTGGAGTTCAAGCAATTTTGGTCAAAAGGCATCAAATGGTAAATGGACTGTACTTGTACAGCACCTTCTTAGGGTACTACAACCCCCCAAGGCGCTTCACAACACAATCAGTCACACACACATTCACACGCTGGTGATGATGAGCTAGAATGTAGCCACAGCTGCCCTGGGACGCTTGACAGAAGCGAGACTGCCAAACACAGGCGAGGCAAGGTAGGTTAAGTGTCTTGTCCAAGGACACAACATCAGCATTCTCTGGCGGGAGCCGTGATCAAACCAATGTCTAAAATCATGCACATCTAATTAATAATATTGTGTTAGATTTAGTAAACAAGTAAAACTTACTTGTATAAAGGGGTAGGGACATATAAGTTCCCACTTCAGCCTACTCCTTTTCAAACAGAGAAGAAGGGATGATGATATGTATTTTTTCTGTTTGTGGTATTTTAAAAAAAATTATGTATGTTTTCTTTGTTTGAAATAAACTAAACTAAACAAATATATCTAAATGTTAAAGAAGTAAATGACATAAACACAAAAAATATATATTTTTTTTACCTCTCAACATTTTTTTTCAAATCTCGCTGGATGGAACATTTGAGTGATTTAAAGAGACAATGTGTAGTTTTTACCGTTAATCTCTGAAAATATCCATCTAAAGGTTGTTGAAAATGAATTAAATGATGCCAGTTGTTGCTAAATATTATCAGCTTTGTAACATATAACCATAAAAATGGGGTCTAAAATACATGGGCCGGGTCTAATCTCTGGGCGATGCCATGTTTCCTTATACGGGAGCCCGTGAGGACAAAATGCATTTACTGATTTTTAACAAATGGTTACAAAACATTCGCTATTCATAAACGCAGTTTTACATATTTACCTCTTTACTCATTGCCAGTGATGAAAGGGAGTCTGATGTGCTTATGTTGCTGGAGGCTGTGCTCCCAGGAATGGTTGACCCTAATGGCCATCCACTGATATGGTTCAACTCGAACATCGCCAGGAAAAATACACACTGTCACTTTAAAAAGCTTTAAAGAGCAAGTCACCACCAAATCAACTTTTTTTGATAAACTATATAAATGTGTGTCTAATCGTGCTGCAGACACGTGTAGTCAATAGTTTTGCACTTTAGTGCATTTTAGTTAAAATTTTAATTTTCTGTTTGAAACTGTCAGTTTTGTGCAGTTGTCAGGTAAAAACTTAGCACTGCATTTGAATTTAAATCTGCCATCGCTATTGGTTAAGAGGTCCAGAACGTTAGCTGGTACCATATGATGTCACAATGTTGTTGTGAGCCTGTGTGTGTTTATTTGTTAGCGGCTCCGCCCTCTCGTTCTGCTATAGGCAACAGCATTTGTTACATTTTTCAAACAGGAAGTGGGAGTGAAGTAAAGCTCTGGTAGGGGTGACTTGCTATTTAAACATATGTATTTACCTCTCATGTTTACTATGTTGGTTTTTTCTTTCATGAAACTTGTAGCTAATTAGTTTGTTCTCACAAGCAATAAAAGTCACCATCACAGCACATAAAACTTTAATTTCCAATACCATGACTTGTGCTGTTTAAGCCCTAAGCCCTGTGGAATGATGTATTAATGTGATTCATATATGTTAAACACTTCTGTTCATTCTGTTCTTAATAAAGTTGGAAGTATTGATATAAACTGTAAACCAAACCTAACGTGTACTCTGCCTAAGCATTTATTCCTCAAGCTGAGCAGCAACTTTATGAGTTAATGTCTCACAGCTACTGGTTTGTTTTTAACTAATTTTGACTTATCAACTAATTAACCCTCTGGAGACAGGCGTTGCAGATTTGCAACAGTTAAAACCTACCTACCTGGTTACTCCATGTATGTATTTCATGAGCATTTTTAACTCAAAAGTACCCCTGAAGGACTTAGTTGTTCGTCCTTTTATCAAAACTTATTTTGAGCCTGCGAGGGTTAAACACCATTTATTTTTATTATTGAAATGGGTATATATTTGTTTTTTATTAAGTTGCCTAATAATTATGCACAGTACATGGACTTAATTTTTTTTTTTGGGGGGGGGGGCAGGGGGGACATGTCCCCCCCACTTTTTCCAAAGTCAAGGTTTGACCCCTGCACTTTTTACCATCCAAAAACAACATTACGCTATATTAAATTTACACTAGTTGAGCTCTAGGACCAAGCAGAAAACAACCGTTTGTGTTGAAGCCTGTTTCCCATTAGAGCATACTGTAAAGATTCACACACCCCCTCCCCACTCCATGTCCCCCCCACTTCTAAAGTGAAAATTACGTCCATGACAGTAATAGTAACCTGCACACACAGATATCCCCCTAAAATTGCTAAAACTACAAACAAACTAAAAACTACTTCCAAAAACATTCAGCTTTGATATTAATGAGTTTTTTGGGTTCATTGAGAACATGGTTGTTGTTCAATAATAAAAATTATTCCTCAAAAATGCAACTTGCCTAATAATTCTGCACTCCCTGTAGAGACTTTCTTGTCCGTAAAAAGTTCATCAACTCTGCATCAGCCGAGGTATTCCTTAAATTTGAAGCGTCTAAGCGGCAGTCTAACTCTATTGGTTAGTTCTGGTTGGCGCTCAGTTTCCTATGGAGCTCTGCCGGGCAGGGGGCGTGCTTAGCAAAAAAAAAATAAATAAATAAATAAAAATAAAAACGTATTGCTTATATCAGAGTACATGATAAGATAATCACTTTTACGGATTTCTGACAAACCATACATAATTTCTGAAAGAGGAAAACTCCAGAAACCAGCTTTAATACTGATGCTTATAATTTGAGCTAGTTCAGTAGACTTCTACTGCCCTCTACTGACCACTATCAGAACTTACACAGGACGTCCAAACTGGCTTTTTCACTTATGATTTTTGGACTATTTTTGTTAATCTAAGCACAAAACTGAACAAAATAATCAATATTAGCAAAAAAAAACATACTTAATAGGCCAAGGACATGTTCTAGCAGCATTCTTTTTTATATTTTAGGTAAAACAGGAGAAAGTAGTGAACTATGGATAATTGTGGGTTGCTTGACACGTTTTAGACAATTAAGAAAAAGAAAAACTAAATTTAGGCAAAACAAAAAAATAATCCTAAATAAAAGAGCTTTGATCTAATTTTTTTCAGAGCTTTCAAAGTGACAAGAGCAGTTTTAGTGGGGGCCAGAGTAGGTCACAGCCACCCCACACCCCCCTGTGGGCCCCCTGCTGAGGTAGAACGTCCAACTCGGACAGAACCGGGAGGAGGAGTGGCCTGGGACAGATGCAGAGAACCAGGCGAGAATTCATCTTCAAATGTACATTTCTTTAACCCTCTCAGGCTCAAAATAATTTTGACAAAAGGAAGAACAAGTAAGTCCTTCAGGGGTACTTCTGAGTTAAAAAATGCTCATGAAATACATATGTGGAGTAACCAGGTAGGTAGGTTTAAACTGTTGCACATCTGCAACGCCTGTCTCCAGAGGGTTAACATATTTACGGGCCACCAAAAGGAGAACACCACCACCTAATGTGCATGGTCCATGCTCAGCTTGAGGTGGAACTGGCCCAAACCATTTTAAGATGAATCAAATTGCTACCACACAATCACGGCAAAAAGTACTAGATTCAAATGTATGGTTATGAAAAAATGTATACAATTTTTAAAAACTGGCTTTATTTCAACAAAAAACATGTTTTCTTGCAAGAAGAAAAAAAGGGATTTTTTCTATATTGCACCTCTCAAGATAACAATCACCAGCCACAAGAAACAATTAAAAATAAAACAAAACTGAGTAAGATAGAGCATAATAAAAAATGGGGAGAATGAAAAATTAAAAGAAAAAAAGAATTAGAAAAATTAATTACATAATGCAGCTTTAATGTCGGCTGAGAAAAAGGTTCCCTATTATTCTGATGGCATTTTAGTGTAATTTTTCTTTTAGGAAATAATTAGAATATATTTGGGAGAAAAATATATATCTTAAACGTTTTTGTTAAATGCCACTGGGCTCTTGAAGTGTTTGGGGGCCAAGGTAATCTTGTGCCCTCGCCAAAAAGTAAGTCTGCCTCTGTTCAAATGTAAAAATGTACCTAGGTTAGTGGCAGTTCCATGGACTGTTGACTATTAACTCAGATCTACAAGGATTGAAAGACAAAATTTCCTGGCATTTCTAGTACGATTTGAGGGGAGGGAGCAAGTACAGTAACTGTTTCTTAATGACGAAACACTGATTCTGGCTCAGGCGGCACATGGAATAAATAATCTGACTCGACACAATCTGAGGCAACCGCAATCATACCTAAGACAAGATTTTCACCAAAAAACAAACACTGTCCTGTTTATCTCTAAATAACTAGTTTGCACAATGTCGACATGGAACAAAGGTGGTGGGGACAATAGGGACTTGTTGAAGCAACATAAATGTGCACAGTAAGTGAAGACGGGTGAGACACAAAGGGGAGGAAGAGCGAGAGAGTGAGATTAATCAGAGGAAAGGAGGTTGCATGAGTTGTTTCCAGGAATTAGTAAACACTCTGTAAAAATGTAACTCATGACACTTCTGATTCTGGATTTTGAGGTGGTCTGTCACAACGTGCAATGACTCTGCAGTAAAACTCATACAGAGCACATCTGTGCATTCTGACAGAGCTCTGTGAGTAAGCAGAGGTAAATACTGGCATTTATTATTTAAGACTATTACATTTTAATAAAAAAAAAGCAGATCTCCACTCCTTATTCAGTAATATTAGTTTTTTCAGAAACACATTAATTAACAATTAATTCAATTAACTGTTTATTAAGCAAGAAGGGGGGGGGGCATAAACATCAAAATATCCTACAAATAGCACCCAAAAGAAAACAATCTTAAAATATTAAACCTGAAATTTCAAAAAGGCATTTTACAATCTTTGTGTAAAAACCAGAAAGATATATGAGACTGAACTATGTTTAGCAGTCATGGGTTCTGTAGAATGTGTTGCAGTGGTGTTGTGAGCTTCTGCACCTCTGTATTAATTGACCCAGAAGCTCCTCCTCAAGTCTGACAGCTCAGATCACCAATATTCAGCTCAACTGGAGACACTCATGGGCAAAAGTGAAACGAGGTGGGCGCAAAGAAAAGAACCTGGGGAAAAGGAGATTGTGAGTATTGACTAAGTTCTTTAAGCTTTTATGTGCAAATCAGCTGCTGTTGCGGCACGTCCAAAAGGTTGTGCTTCTGAGCCTCAGCTAAACAGATACGTGAAGTCTCCGCTCTATTTGTTCACAGTTCACAGAGTTCTGTTGGACTTAAACCATTTTCACCTCACATTGGTGTAACTGACATTTTCTGACAGAATAGACAGGTTTCTGACTCTCATACCGCGCTCTGACCTGCTAGTACCACTTCTGGCTGACTTTTGTTTATCTCAAAGAATTATTTATTTACTTTCACGTGGAAGATGATGTATGAATTAGCCCAGTCATGTAGAGATATACTGGACCATGTAAGCCGGTGGTTAAAAACATTATAAAATGATAAACAATGCTTGAAACAATTATTCTGATTCAGTCAAGCAACAATAGGACATTAACACAAAGCCAGTGGGTAGTTCTGGCACTGATGAAAGAAAGACAAGACCAGCTCATTTTCATGTACTGTAATCAAAATCTGATTAAACTAATCTTTTTCTTTACAATGCTCCTACAAACCTGTCCCACTCAGTGTTTGATTTGGTTAGGCCTAAAGTTTAAAAGTTCAGACAGTGAACCTTTAACGTTGTTAAAATATAAATCCTTCCTGGTTTCTCCTGCTAAAGAACCAAAGAGGAATTTTGGTCTTTGAAACGCTTAATGACCACATTAAGAAGGAAAAGTAATAAAGATTTAATTTTAGCTGTTAATTAGCATTAGGTTAGGTTATTAAGGGAAATAATATTAATGTCGTATTGATGTAAATTAATAAATATTTAACTCCACATCGTACAATATATTTTTTAGAATTTTTAGTGGCTTGTTTTCATTTATGTATTTATTTTTATTTATTTTATCACTTTCGTGATACCAATCAAGGTGGTCCAAAGAGCTGAACACAACAAACCTACAATGACCTAAAAGACAAAAGTGAAGATTAAAATAATTATGCGTAAGCAACAACTAATCAAAATATAAACGGAATCAAACGCACTTTTTAATAAATAAATAAATAAATACAAAAAGCATTGGGCCACTAACGGACAGAAAACAAGAGGAGGTGTAAAAATCTACTGCAGTTAGACAGCCAGTCTGTTTTCAGTGCTTCGTGTGAATAACGGGTTAAAGCAGCGGTTCAGACCCACTGGGGTCTTGAGATGACCTCCATAAATATAATAAATTCATATACTTGTCCTATAAATAATGTAACATTTTAAAACTAGTTCCATTTGGTAGAATAAAAGTGCAAAAACAAAGCATTAACCGCCTATAGTTATTTCAGTGGTTAAATTATATTTTATTGGGTAAGAAGCTGAGAATGATCTGTTTAACTAAGTTGAAATGTTGGAGATCTTAGGTTTTACTGTGAGAGACCGTTCAGGACGAAGGCCACTGGACCTCAGTAGAAACAGGACGCCCTGACTGATGTTGAGTCTTGGAAAAAAACTAGACGAGAAACCTGATTGATTTGGTCTCACGTGACCAGCGGTTGATTAGCCCGAAGAATAAACACCTGTGAGCGTTGCAATAGTTCTGAGCGCACCCGCGTGAGGAGAAGGGAGCGCGCGCTCATCTCAGCCCTGTTTCTGTTTGTTCCAGTCAGGCTCCGGATGCCTCTGAACGCAGGAAACCACGACCCGGTCCAGGGCAAAGCTCTGTCGGACGCCGAGGAAGCCTCTGAGACGACTCCTCTGCTCCCGCCGGCTTCCGTCTACTCATGGCAGCCTCTGACCAAACAGGAGCTAGAGGCCGCGGCGGGAAGTCCCGAATGGAGAGCGACACGTCATTACCTGGTGCTGGCGTTCTGGCTCACCTGGGTCACCATGCTGGCCGCCGCCTGCACCATAGTGGTGCTCAGTCCGCGGCCGGTACCGACCTGTCTCAAATGGTGGCAGAAGAGCCTGTTCTACCGGCTGCAGCCGGAGCTGACTGGGTCAGAGGGCAACAACGGTAAATCCATCTGAAGATCTATGCTCAGTTGTCATTTTGAGTGAACGAAAAAGTCATGCACAACTTCCTGGATGATCTGGTGCCTTTTAGATAATTGTTATATAATCCCTTCAGCATCTATCACAGAGCACTAAACTCACCTCAGGAGTTGACCCTAAGCTCATCCTATTTGGGTCAGAGGTGAGCCCCTGTATAGTCCAGCCGTGTTGCGGAGGGGCTCTATGCTGTAGAGGCTTCTCTGATTTTAACTCCTATATTATTACCGTTCTTCTACAGAGCTTAATGAAATGCTGGGGAGGTAATTCAGCCAATAAATTAGTGTTGTAAAAAAAACCTAAAACATGCTGGATGGTGTCCCTCAAGGACCAGTGTTGGACACCCCTGATCCAGGTCTTTGTATCAGGACAGTGACTCCATAACAGAATTCCTGTAAGAAAAGCAGTGTTGCCAAGGCCTGGTCAAAGTCCAGGATTATGTCTACATCCCAGTGACATGTGATTCCTCCAGAGATGTAAAACACTGATGTCACACAGGAGATGATTACTTCAAGATGCTAAACTTGCTGCTACTTCTGGTTTACAGTAGAATCTAATGTAGTCCAGTGATGTGTTTACTCAGCTTGTCAATTGAATGTAAATCAGAATCTGATTAAAATTCCCATTTATTTTTCCTAAGCAGTGAGTGATCACCTCCTCCACCTGCAGTCTTTGGGTGTAGGAGCGCTGATCCTGGAGGGTGTGTTTCATAAAAAAGCATCTCTAACAAACCTCAGCACCCCCACTGAGAACCTGGCAGCGCTGGCTCAGATCCAGCATCTGTTCATGGAGAGTAAAAAAGCAGGTGAGTGAAGACGTATCCACGCCGTGGCTCAATATTTGTTTATGCGAAGACTTTTTCAGTTCCCATTGTCTCAAAAATCACATTTGAGCCGCTGTCAGTGTTGACACTAATTTGGGCTTTTAGGTCTCAGAGTGGTGTTGGATCTTTGCAAAGCGACTTTGCTGGAGCTTGAAGAAGCAGCCTGGAACTCAGACAGGCTGTCAAACTATTCATCTGCAGAAAAGGTCAAACGCATTCTGGCAAAGCAGTTGTGTCACTGAAACTCTGAATCTCAACAGTGTTGTTCTCTGCGCTGCAGCACGCGTTAAGATTCTGGTTGGAGCAAGGCGTTGCGGGGTTTGTCATCTGTGACACAGATGAAGCGTATTCGGAAGAGGTAAACGCACTGATCTTCATACAGACATGTCACATTTTTTGTTTAATTGTGCTACAAGTTGTTTACCTTTGCCAACATTTCAGACTCTATTAGAGTGGAGAGGTGTACTGGAAGAATTCGGCCACCGGGGTGTCAAAAAGTACAGTTTGAATGCAGGTGTTTTAATTTAAAATCAGTGCTCCGATATGTGTGCATAATCATGTGTCCATGCATCTCTCTGCAGGATTATAGTGGTGAAACAGACATCAGATGTTCTGCGTCCAATACGTGGCTCCAACAACGTTACGCTCGTGAACATGGTGTTGAAGTCCATCTTGCCAAAATCCCATCACCATCTGTCTGCTGATGAAGTGGTTCATGCTGTAGAAGCATGGCTGCAAATGAGCCCAGAGGAGGCGTGGTCGGGCTGGAGCGTAAGACATGATTTCTGTTGTTAAGGACTTTCGTTTTCCCCAAACAGGACAGAAAAGAGTAACATTCTATAGCAAAACAGAAATGTAAACAAAACGGACCCAAGATTTTAGAATGGCTACATGTCCAACGGCTATTTATCAGGTTTTATTTTGCTTTGCGTTTTTGAAAAAAAAAAAAAAAAAAAAAAAACCATTAAAATTGATTTGTCACGTTAACTTAACATCAGCCTGTCTAAATGCCACCAAACTGCATTCAGGAAAAAAGTTTACAAGGAAGGGTAAATGTGTGCATTTCATGTAGGAAATCTGAGGTTTCACCAGTTTAGGATTAACCAGTAGATTACAGTTCTCTGTGCTGTGATGCTTCCTGCAGATTGGAGGTAAAGTGTCTCATGAACTGAAGCGGTTACTGCTCGTACTGATGATGACTCTGCCTGGATCACCTGCTCTCCAGCATAAGGACATTATCAACCAGACAAAGGTTTGTTCACACAAACAAATGAACCTCTTCTTCACATTCGTGCATAAATTGCAGCAGTGTTTATTCCCCTCCATCCCTTCTTCAGAGCCAGAAGACAGAACACTCTGCCACTGTCGCTCTCCTCACCACTCTCAGCCACTCCAAAGCCAAAGAAGAAGCTCTCCTCTACGGTAGCTTCACCTTTCTCCCCGTCAACGGCTCCTCCAACTCTTCTTCCAACTCCTCTTCCTCCCCCGCTCCAGTCTTGGCCTTCCTGCGCTCATGGGGCTGCGTTCAGTTCCTCATTCTGCTGAACTTCGGCTCTGATTCTTACACTTTGGATCCCGCTTGGGCCTCAAGTCTGCCTGAGAAGGGGGTATTTGTGGCGAGCACGGGGATGAACCACTTAGGCTCGATGAGTCTGTTCTCGTTCAATCTGCAGCCTCGTGAAGCCATTGTGGTCAAACTGTTCAAGGCTGGAAGCTACTCGTAAAGCTGCTGAGTAAATAAGTCGTCTTCTCAAAGACATAAAAACATGGGAATCATTTTTTAAAGTTCTGACTTGTGTACTGAAAATAAATTGTGGCATAATTTCTTGTCTAAAGTTAATATTTATGGGATGATTTGGAACAAAGGATTTGTGATTGCTTCCTCTATGCATGGTAACAAAAAGACAATGATTGGTTGCTTTTATGCTTCAATTCCATTGAGGGGTTTGGGAGGGGCTGCAGCAGGTCGGCATGCTATTTTTCCTTTCAGTAGTAAGAGCGAGACATAAAACCAACCTGGACCGTGCCGTTGACTGGCACCTTCAGTTGTAGCTCCATAGTCTCACACAACGGACCATGGACCGGGGAGCAGAAAAACATCTTTAACACCAGAGTGCTGTTATTTGTACATGGAAGAGAGAAGAGGCCAGCAAGTAGTAACAAGGTTTGATCGGCTTCAGAGCTACAAACATACCTCACTATGTTCAGCAATGGTATGGGATGGTATGTATGTCGATGGTTTAACCACGTACCTGTACTAACCCGCTCCATCACATCCTGGAGCCCTCACCAGAACCAAAGCATTAACGATGCACCAATGTGAGCTAGTCCATATTTCTGTTATGGCCAAGAGGCAATATTTACTAATAAGATTTATATTTCTGATATGATTACCATCACGGTCACATGACAAGTTCCCTCCAGTTTGTGTATCCCAAAGAGAAAACATAAATAGCCTAGATGAAAAAAGTACAGGTTAATATCAAACCCGATATGTTAACATCAGCCATAACTGATGTGGATATATCGTGCATCCTTGTTACCGTACAGATGATTGAGGTCGATACATAAATACAGTGGAGCTATCCACTATCTCTGAACATCTATCCAGTTACTTGAATAAAGCCCCCAACCTGCCACACACACTCTTGGCAGTGGTTTAGCAGTTATTTAATCCAGCTGCTCATAAAACAAACCGAGCCGCATCCTCACCGCTCTTGCATCTCAGACGTTATTGCTCTGAACCATCCGTGGCATGTTTAGTTGATGCAATAAAGTTTGAGAAGCAATTTCGGGGTTGTGATGATTTATGTCAGATTTAGTCGTTTTCACCAGAGAGCAAAGAAGCATAAATGAGGACATACTTGCACCAGCTGCTGCAAATTACTTTTGAATGCATTAAGCATCCACAAGGTGGTGCTGGAGAGCCACACGGCTCTGCTGCTCCAAACTGTCCTGCTGCTGCTGCAGATTAGTTTTAAACTTGAAGGGCTCTCGTTTGACTTTTGGATGCATTTAGTGTAAAAATTACAAAGATGCTGACATTAACACCATTAGTTAAATTCAGAGCCACCACTTCAATATTTTTCTTGGTACTTTTATTTCTTATTTTAATCCAAGATGTTTGTATTTTTGATGCTTTAACTAGTAAAACAATATTTAGCATGAATTAAGTCTTAAGTTGTGCAGAAAAAGAGCTGTCACAGCAGATCAGCAAACGTGCAGGACAAAAAAGCACATTCTGTTGCAAAGGTCTTACGTATACACACAGACAATCTGTAAGTTTGCTTTCATTTTGTATTTCACATATATTGTCATCTGTGGTACAATTTAATTCTAAAATGGCATTATTTCATTCATTTACACAGAAGAGCTCAAACAACCATTCTCTCAGAAAAAAACGTGCAGGTTTGGATTGCGTTTGAATCAGACTGTTTTATGCTGAACTGAGTCTAAAACATAAACAACAGAGGGAATAAAGCAGCTTGTCCAACATTGTGAAACAGTGAAAAACCCACAAAGTTAAATACATAGTTCACAAATTTTACATTCTTGCAGTGCAGGCTTTAGCAGCAGACGCTGTTCAAAGCAACATGCCCTAAAACAGTCATTAAAGGTGATTTAGAAATCAGTGACAACAAGAGAAGGTCAGTGTTTAAATATGAAACATGCACGGGATTGCCTCGCTTCAATTTGGACTACCTAGGGTCACTTTACATAGAAACTCATCTAAACATTATCTTTTAACAAAGGTTTGGTATTTCACATTTATCCTTTGAACATTTTTAGAACGCAATTAATTCTGCTTTTAATTTATTATTAAAATCAGATTGCAGCTGAGTTAAAGTTAGAATATGGAACATTTTAATAAAAAGCTATATTTAAAAAAAAATAATACCTCCACAGAAGTGTGCAGAATGAATGTGGAGTTTCTCCTTTTAAAGCTATATTTAAAAAGATAAATAATCTAAAATTTATTCTGCCGGGCACAACACTGTTTATGTTTGCATCTACCTGCCACTAGAAGGCACCGTTGCACTAAAAAGTCCACTCAGCAAGGCAAGGTTGGGACTTTGGCAGACTTGACAAGTCAAGCAGCTGATTCTGAGCCCAGAAGATGTTCAAACAGTAAATACTGTTGTAAACTAAACACATTAGTAGAAATTAGTCCTTATCCTGTACGATTTGTCTCTGAACATGGTGCTGGAACGTGTCAGCAGTGAACCAACATCTCAGTGGCTGGAAAATCTGTCATGTTGTTTCAATACCACCCCTGACCACCAGAGTTCGCCAGATTGTCCGTGTTCCATAGTCAACCTCTAATCCAAGCAGTATGTCCCTTCCGGCTGTCAGAGTAATACTAAATGATTCTTTGCAATAAAAGTCAAATGTATTGTTTTGTGATTTAGAAAACCACTTAAACCCTCCTTTTTGGTTCGCTTGACTTTTGCAAATGCTGAAATATTGAATAGTCATTAAGTCCTCTATAGAAATTAAACTTCGTTCCTCTTAAGCCACCATTAACCCTTTAGAACCCAAACCCTTTTGAAATAGAAAACAGATTAGAATAAATACATAAAAAAATAAATAAATAATTTAATCAAATGAAGAAGTAAACTAATTTTCAATAAATGTATGGAAAGAAAGTCAGTTGGAGGTTTCAAATTTTAATACGACTCAAGAATAAATTTGCAGATGTTTGAAATGGAATGTGATGTGAGGGTCTCCATGGGTCCTTAAGGGTAAAAATACAAATTTAACCTTCAGAAACGGAGACTTCTTGGATTTTTGTACCTAAGGTGTACACGAAGGGGGCGCGGCCTAAAACTCATGCTGCAGCCAACCACTAGGAGGCACTCGTTCTATATCAGCTTCGACTCCTGTGGTATATTTATGTCGATGTGCTACATTCATGTATTAACACATATTTCGAGAATACATGTTGTACTGTCGTGTACTATGGAAAGCCAGAAAGGATAAATTAACAGCTTTTTGTGTTTCTGCTTGCTCTGATTGGAAGGGGAATCTCCTAATAAGACATAATTTTCTTTTAAATCAGCCACACATTCATCCTTTACACTTGTATTTAAAGTGTCAAGAAAATAATTTACATGCCTTAATGCTCAACAAAGTGTATTTTCATGAACATACGTTCATTTTTTAATTGTTCACTCTGAATCACTCCATTTTAGGCAGCAGATTCAATCCAAAAGAACCCGTTGAAAACATGGAACTTCTTAATAAACTCCTGAAATGGAGAAACTTCTAATTGTTTAATGAGTCCAGTGTAGGTAAAAGTCTAAATAACTGCTGGGTGGATTTTTACAAACATTTATAAACTCATTTTGTGGATTTGGCAGATTGTGTTAACTAAATCGAGAAAAAAATGTACGATTAAATTTCTGAATGATAGACGGGTGCTGCAGATGTGCAAAAAGAGCTTTTTGTTTTAGAAAATAAGATGAAAAAGAGAGAATACATTCATGCATGTTAAAGGGCTTTTTCTGAGTGCACGCACATTTATATGTTACAGTACATCATCCACAAACGTATGATTTCATCCTTCCTTTTGCTCACAGTCACTGTGCTTCATTTTATGGCACAACTCCTATTGTAATATTGAGTATTCAGGATAATGAAGAATACTTCTTTGTGTTTGAATATAAATTAAGAGTTCAGGAACCCCAATCCCAAGTTCTGGGATTTCTTCCAGTGTTTTTCTGACAGGACGGTCAGTACCTGGAGTCCTTTGTCCTTCACAACCAACGGCCCAGTTGAGTCTGTGGATCCGTCACAGTTGACGGTTGTGTGGCAGAACACTGTCGAGAGGTAGCGACAAAGCGCAGTGTGCCGTTGTCTTTACAGCCTGTTTACCGAAGCGGCAGTTCAGCAGAGAGCCCAGGTGACGAAACACAGACTTGCGGAAGAGGATGAAAATCCAGGGATCCACGATGGGGTTCAGGGAGTAAAAGCGGAAAGCTATCAGGTTCTCGTCGTCGCCACGATATGGATGAATGGCGTTGATAAAGCCTGCAATCTGAAGAGAAGAAGGTGTGATGAGATACTGTTCAAAACAATTAATGCATAAATCACCTAAATGCAAAAGTTTCATATTTTTAAGTACTTTTCTTGAGCCAGTATGTGCCGAAATGACTCTTTACAGCAGGGAGATTCGGCCTGGAGGGCCAGTATCCAGCACATTTTAGTTTTAAATTTGTTTCAACACACCTGACTTCAATCAGCAGGTGATTAGCAGACTTCTGCAAAAGCCTAATGAGCTGCTGCACTGGTGATTCATCGACTGAATCAAGTGTGTTGGAACAGAGAAACCACTAAAAACGTGCTAAGAACCAGCTATATAGGCCCAAATTCGAATACCCCTGCTTTACAGGGTTAAAGAAATGTCACTCAGTCCAATCGTCCTCTGTGGCAAGAACACCGCACTTGCAACATCAGAGTGCCGGTCCTGTCCCTGTTGGACTTTGTAAAGTGGAGTTAACATGCCTGGAGCGTGAGTCTGCTTCCAGCATGTTTCCTGCATGTTTTAGATTGTGAACACAGCTGATTTGTTTGATTTAGTGATGAATCACTCCTTTAGACACTAATGAAGGCTGGGGAGACGTTTCAGCTGCTGGATGAAGGCGTTAAAATGAATGCACAGCGAGGAGATGGGTTTCACTTTTAGGTTTCACTTTTGGTTTTACTAAACGAACACCAGGCGGTGCTAAAAGCAAGCCTAAACTGCTTGGTATCCCTTTAAAACTTACTCTTCCATAAAGAATGTCGCCAACTCTGCATCAGCGTAGTTACGTCCGCAAATGTGTGCACATACAGATGACAGATTTCGTTTGCTTTTGACTAGTGCTCAGTGGAACTCAATTCAAATTGTGTGTGGTTCTAAGAGACAGGGGCAGGTTTAGCAAAAAATAAAAATAAATAAAATAAAAAAACACCATTACAGTTCAGGGTCTGACTATCACCATTACAGATATCTAAAAAAAATCCTACATAATTCCCGAAAGGGGGAAAATTCCAAATCGCTGCATCAAGATGAGAATCCTTCAGTCTAGATATTTCTGAGATACTCTCTGAAGGTAAGATTAAATATATTTTAGAAACTTTAGAATTAAAAATGTGTTGTTTTAATTTTAGAGCGGATTCATTAGGCTATAGGGGTCATGAATGCTTGTCCTGGAGGGATTCTCCTATACAATGTCAGGAATGCAGAACTGTCAAGTACACAGGTAGCAGGAACGGTCTATCACGCGTTAGCAAGTATCAGCAGAGCCAAAGGTTGAGCTTATGAAAGGTTCTAATGGGAAACAGGCTCCAACACAAGTGATTGTTTTCCGCTTGGTTCTAGTGCTCAACCAGCATTTATAATATAGTGTAATATTGTTTTTGTACAGTAAAAAGTGCAGGGGACAAAAAGTGACTTTGGAAAAAGTGTGTGTGTGTGTGTGTGGGGGGGGGGGGGGGGGGGCATAAACTACGTCCATGGTTGGGATCCAGGATGTCTTAGTTGTTTTCCCTCTTCAATACACCTGATTATGAATATGTAGAGATGCGCATGCGCTGACGGCCGATTACCGGACACAGCAGCGTTTGAAGCTGATGGCAGCTCGTTAGCAAACATTCACAAACAATTCAGATGCATTTTTGCCTAATTTAAAAACTGACAACGCAAAAAAATAATCTGGTAAGTATAACTCGCTCAATCTGGAGGTAAGTGAAGAAAATTTAGAAAGTTTACAGAACTTTATTGACGGAGTTTTCGAGTTATTTGTTATGGGTCCGAAGAAATCAGCAGGTGAACCTGAAACACCTGGGACGAAGCGGAGCCGCCCTCAGGACTCGCCTGAGGCCTCATCTCCCCGGAAGGACATATTGGAATTATTAGAATCCATAGATAAACGGCTTCTGGGATTTGAGGGGCGTCTTCATCTGCTTGAGGTTCTGCACCAGGAGTTTCAGAACCTCCGCCAGTCCCTGGAATTCAGCCAGGAGCAGGTGGAGCGGCTCGCTGCTGAGAACGCGTCTCTGCGGGAGTCCGTTTCTTCCCTGGAGGAGGGAATGACGCGGATCACCCAGGACAACAAAACTCTGAAGGAGACGGTTTTGGACCTTCAGGCCCGTAGCATGAGGGATAATTTGGTGTTTGCAGGTCTGTCGGAGGAGGTGGGAGGGGCCGAGGACTGCGAACGCACTGTTAAACACTTTCTCCAGACCCAAATGAAGATACCCGAAGAAACGGTAAAACACATCACCTTCGACCGAGTACATCGCCTTGGAGCTAAAAGAGGGGACAGCAGACGACCTCGTCCCATCGTGGCTAAATTTGAACATTTTAAGCAGAAGGATCTGGTTAAAAGTCACGGAAGAGAGCTCAAAGGCAAAGACTTCAGCGTTAATGACCAGTTTCCTAAGGAAATCCTGGATCGGCGCAGAGTTCTCTTTCCGCTGCGTAAAAAGTTTATCCAAGATGGGAAGAGAGCTGTCATCTCAGTGGATAAGCTTTATGTGGATAATAAACTTTACAAGGAGCGAGGAGTGACAGACTGGCTGTATTAGCCCAACATCAGGTCAGACCTTTATTTTTCTTATCAGATTCACTGGGTTTGAGCACGTCAGTAATAAACAGCTGCTAGATCCGTGTTTTAGATGATGAGTTCACCTGTTCATCATCACCTCACACCCCATCACCTTTTCTTTTTAGTTCTTTCTTCTTTTTTAATCTGTTTCTGTATTTTCCTTTCCTCTTTTTATCTGCTTCTTTACACCTGTATGGCACAACCACACAACTTTCCAACACTGCGTCAGACTCCACACACACACACACACGCACACGCACGCACACACACAGACACACACATGCACACACAGACCCACACACACACACACAGGAACACGCACACACACACACACACACACACACACACACACACACACACACACACACACACACACACACACACACACACACACACGGATATATTTAAGTCACAACACAATATCATAATTTATGCGTCAAATAATACAACCACAAACACTGTTGAATCCTTATTATTATTTACTTTTCTGTTATTTATTAACATACTATTTTATACATTTAGATACTTATTCCATCTTATTCACATGAAGGCGTCATATTTTAGCTACTCACACACACATCTATGGGTGCACTAAGATTTGTCTCATGGAACGTACATGGAACTGGCTCAAGAGATAAAAGATTAAAGATTTTTGATCAGTTAAAAAGAATGCAAGCAGACGTAATATTATTACAGGAGACTCATAGATCTGCCACATCGGCAGATGAACTTAAAACACCTGAGTTTCCCAGCATGTTCTCTGCCTGCTATAACTCTAGGCAAAGAGGGGTAGCTATTTTAATACACAAAAACATCAATTTCACAGTACTGGACACAGCTTCTGATCCAGAAGGTAGATTTATAATGTTAAAAATAACTATACAGAACCAACGCTTATGTATTGTGAGCATATACTGTCCAAATATTGATGACCCTCCATTCTTTCATAATTTTTTCTCTGTACTCTCCGAACACTTGGACTGTCCACTTATACTTGGAGGTGATTTTAATTTTTGGATGCATTCCTTAGACAGGCTCAGTACAGCTGGGACTCGGCGCAATTGGCAATCCACTTATATAGTTAAACAGTACATGAGTGATTATGGGCTTTGTGATGCATGGCGATCTCTTCATCCTAACCGTAGAGAGTATACTTTTTTCTCACACGTCCATCACTCTCACTCACGTTTGGATTATTTTCTAGTCAGCAGCTCATTGCTGGCTGACATTTCAGACACTGAGATACACCCTATTGTTGTCAGCGACCATGCTCCGGTTTCTTTAACTCTAGTAAACAAGAAAGCAATCCCACCAAGCAAAAACTGGAGGTTTAATACATCACTGCTTAAAGATGAAGGTTTTATAGAATTTTTTAAAAAGGAGTGGGCTTTATATTTAGAACATAATGACCTGCCTGGAACATCAGCATCTATTCTCTGGGAGGCAGGAAAGGCAGTGATGAGAGGTAAAATAATCTCTTTCTCATCACATAAGAAAAAAACAGAAAATAAACGTATCCAGGAGTTAGAAGAAATCATTAAGTCTTTAGAGACATCCACAGAAGAAGAGTTACTGAGCAAATTACGTAAAGCTAAATTAGAACTTCATGGAATTATTGACAAAAAAACACAATTTTTAGCACAAAGACTACGAATAGAAAACTTTGAACATAGTAATAAATCCGGTAAATTTCTGGCCAGCCAATTAAAAATTAATAAAGAGAAAACTACCATATCTGCTGTTAAAGACTCAACTGGGAATATAGTTTATGACCCTGAAAGAATAAACAACACTTTCAGAGACTTTTACCAAACTTTGTACTCACCACAGATAAACCCATCAGATGACGAGATCGATGAGTTCCTTGATAGGATAACACTTCCTAAATTAACAGACAGCCAAGTTGCAGTCCTGGACTCGCCACTAACATCAGCAGAGCTCCAGGAAGCCCTTAAATCCATGACTAATGGGAAAGCTCCTGGTCCAGACGGGTTCCCAGCAGAGTTCTACAAAGAATTCTGGACCATTTTGGCTCCAACATTTTTCAGAATGGTGAGGGAAATCGAAGAGAGCGGCAGATTACAGCCAAACATGAACTCAGCCAATATTAGTCTCTTGTTAAAACCAGGCAAAGACCCAGCATTTCCAACCAGCTATCGCCCAATTTCTCTTATTAATGTTGATCTCAAAATAATTTGTAAAGCCCTGGCAAAAAGATTAGAGAAGGTAACCCCCTTCTTAATACACCCTGACCAAACTGGTTTCATAAAGGGTAGACAGTCGTCCACTAATTCGCGTAGATTACTTAATTTGATAGATTTCTCTTACAGTAGAAACATAGAAACTAGTATATTATCTCTAGATGCAGAAAAGGCTTTTGATAGAGTTAACTGGAAGTTCTTATTTGCAACTTTACATAAATTTGGTTTTGGGAACTTCTTCATAA